CCCGAGGTGGGGCGGGGATTGGGAGCCTCGAGCTCCTCCCCCCCCCCCCCCACTTTTTTGAAAAAGTATATTAAAGAGAAAAAAAATAGAATGAGAGTAAGAAAGAAAGAATAGTTAACTGCCAGTGTTAAAAATTAATGAGGCATCTAAATATGCTCATCTGACCGTGATTAAATGCCTAAAACCCCTAAGCACCCGGGGGCTCTGCCCCTGGATTCCACCTGGGACCCTACGGCGGGCCCTTAGATGCTCATCTGACGGTAATTTAATGCCTAAAACCCCTGATTTTTTGGGGCTCCGCCCCCTGGAACCCACGCCAAATAGTGACCTGCCAGTGTCATAAAATAATAAGGTATACAACAAAAATGCTCATCTGACCTTAATTAAACGCCTAAAACCCCTGAGCTTCCGGGGCCGGCTCAGCCGCCTCGACCCCACCAGGGGCCCTAAGGCGGGCCCCTGAATGCTTATCTGACCGCAATTTATTGCCTTAAAGCCCTGAGCTTGCGGGGTCGGACAAGGTATCAAAATGTGTTTATCTGACCGCAGGCGCGTAGCCAGGGGGGGGGGGGCGGTCCCCCCAAATCGGAAGAGGACGTAGGAAGAAAAAGGAGCAGACAAAGAACACCTTTGAAAAAAGGATTAAGAGTATAGAGAACGGTACAACGCATCATCTTCTTTCTCTAATAATTTAATGAAACGTCAAAGCTTCGCTCAGGAGGGGAGAGGGGGGGGGGGGAACTGAATTCAGACGAGGATTAAGAGTCGAGAACTGTACAACGAATCGTCTTCTTTCGAATGATTTAATGAAACGTAAAAGCTTCCGCGCTTTGCGCGGGAGGGGGGGGGGGGGACTGAATTCCGACGAGGATTAAAGTCGAGAACGGTACAACGAATCGTGTTCTTTCTCTAATGATTTAATGAAACGTTAAAGCTTCCGCGCTTCGCGCAAGAGGGGGGGGGGAACCTGATTTCAGACGAGGATTAGTGTCGAAAACGGTTCAACGAATCGTCTTCTTTCTCTAATGATTAAAGGAAACTTAAAAAGCTTCCGCGCGAAGCGCGGGAGGGGGGAACCTGAATTCAGACGAGGATTAAGAGTCGAGAACGGTACAACGAATCGTGTTCTTTCTCTAATGATTTAATGAAACGTAAAAGCTTCCGCGCTTCGCGCGAAAGGGGGGGGGGGACCTGAATTCAGACGAGGATTAAGAGTCGAGAGCTCTCCAAAGAATCGTAATAATTTAATAAATCGTAACATTTTCTTGTGAAACGTCAAGGCTTCCGCGCAAAGCGCAGGAGGGGGGACCTGAATTCAGACGAGGATTCAGAGGCGAGAACGGTAATACGAATCTTTAATGATTTAATGTTACCTTCCGCGCTTCGTGCGGGATGTAGGGGGAACTAAATTCCGACGAGGATTATTTTCGAGAACGGTATAACGAATCGTCTACTTTCTCTAATGATTTAATGAAACGTAAAAGCTTCCACGCTTCGCGCGGAAGGGGGATACTGATTTCAGACGAGGATTAGTGTCGAAAACGGTACAACGAATCTTCTTCTTTCTCTAATGATTAAAGGAAACTTAAAAAGCTTCCGCGCGAAGCGCGGGAGGGGGGAACCTGAATTCAGACGAGGATTAAGAGTCGAGAACGGTACAACGAATCGTCTTCTTTCTCTAATGATTAAAGGAAACTTAAAAAGCTTCCGCGCGAAGCGCGGGAAGGGGGAACCTGAATTCAGACGAGGATTAAGAGTCGAGAACGATACGACGAATCGTGTTCTTTCTCTAATGATTTAATGAAACGTTAAAGCTTCTGCGCTTCGCGCAAGAGGGGGGGGGGGGGACTGAATTCAGACGAGGATTAAGAGTCGAGAACGGTACAACGAATCGTGTTCTTTCTCTAATGATTTAATGAAACGTACAAGCTTCCACGCTTCGCGCGGAAGGGGGATACTGATTTCAGACGAGGATTAGTGTCGAAAACGGTACAACGAATCGTCTTCTTTCTCTAATGATTAAAGGAAACTTAAAAAGCTTCCGCGCGAAGCGCGGGAGGGGGGGGGGGGAACCTGAATTCAGACGAGGATTAAGAGTCGAGAACTCTCCAAAGAATCGTAATAATTTAATAAATCGTAAACATTTTCCTCGCTTCGCGCGGGAGGGGAAAAACTAAATTTAGACGAGAATTATTTTTGAGAACGGTACAACGAATCGTGTTCTTTCTCTAATGATTTAATGAAACGTAAAAGCTTCCACGCTTCGCGCGGAAGGGGGATACTGATTTCAGACGAGGATTAGTGTCGAAAACGGTACAACGAATCTTCTTCTTTCTCTAATGATTAAAGGAAACTTAAAAAGCTTCCGCGCGAAGCGCGGGAGGGGGGAACCTGAATTCAGACGAGGATTAAGAGTCGAGAACGGTACAACGAATCGTGTTCTTTCTCTAATGATTTAATGAAACGTTAAAGCTTCCGCGCTTCGCGCAAGAGGGGGGGGGGGGGGCTGAATTCAAACGAGGATTAAGAGTCGAGAACGGTACAACGAATCGTGTTCTTTCTCTAATGATTTAATGAAACGTAAAAGCTTCCACGCTTCGCGCGGAAGGGGGATACTGATTTCAGACGAGGATTAGTGTCGAAAACGGTACAACGAATCGTCTTCTTTCTCTAATGATTAAAGGAAACTTAAAAAGCTTCCGCGCGAAGCGCGAGAGGGGGGAACCTGAATTCAGACGAGGATTAAGAGTCGAGAACTCTCCAAATAATCGTAATAATTTAATAAATCGTAAAAATTTTCCTCGATTCGCGCGGGAGGGGAAAAACTAAATTCAGACGAGAATTATTTTTGAGAAGGGTACAACGAATCGTCTTCTTTCTCTAATATTTTAATGAAACGTCAAAACTTCCGCGTTCGCGGAGGAGGGAGGGAGAAACTCGCCCCTCCCTGCCCTGGCCCCCTCCCCCGCATTACGTCACTGTTGGTCACCATTACGTACCAATATTTTGCTCGCATAATTTCAAATTTGGGCCCCCCCCCCTAAGAAATCCTGGATCCGCGCCTGGGATTCCCAACTTTTTCATGTACAAACTTGGAGCAAGTCATGTCTTAACTGTGCACCTTCTTGCCATTTTTAATGTTCTTGTTCAAAAGGGTTTTTACAAGTTCAGTGTATGTAAATGTGTATACTCTGTGCACCTATGCAGTAAAGACGTGTGAAGGTATTTAGTTTTCTTTATATTGCACTTCTGCACAGAGTAAAGCACACCTTTGATCCCTGCATTCACGGTTGAAAATTACTTTTAAGTTGTGAACTTACGTGCTTTGTTCATATTTGGTGTTGTAAATTTTAAATTAGAGATATGCAATTCGGTTCGAGGACAGTTACCCCCCTGGACAATCAACCCCGGCCAATTACCAGCAGGACAATTACCCCCTCCCCTCCAAAAAAAATGCTCTGATTAACTTATTTATTATCAGGGTGGACTTCCCTGTTTTATGAAAAGAGCGGGGGTAATTTTTTGGGGGGGAGGGGAGGATTGTCCTAGGGAGCCATTTTCAGGGTTGGGGGGTAATTGTCCTCGGGGGTAAACAATAATGTTTAAAGACGTGTTTTCTTCGATTCCATGACATTTGCTCCGGCGACAATTGCTCCGCTGTAAATTTCATACACTAATCGAATGGCTAACTTCAACCCTGGATTCAACACTATACCCTACCCTAAACCTAACCCTAAACCTAACATAAACCCCTATTGAAACCCTAACCCTAACCCTACATCTTAGACGAAATAAAGCCCGGAGCAATTGTCGCAGGAGCAAATGTCGTGTCACCGTTTTCTTCATCAATTTTGACAATATCATGAATGTTTTTCTTCAAAATTACATTTGATTAGGCCTTTTTCAGTCTTTCCCATAACTTCATTGATAACTCATACAAAATTGTTTTAACTTTAGCTACTCTTTCTCTTTTTGATATATCCTATTCAATCTTCTATTGCCTTCCAACATACCTCTGTGCAAAAAATATTGAAGTATATCATTTCTTTTTGCCATTAAAACATGTTTATTTTTATGTCAAATGTTTTGTTATCTTAATTTTTTGTCATTGATATGGAGATGGGAAAGAGAAAAAGAGATGAAAAGAGGAAATTTGAGAAATGGAGAATATAGAAAAGAAGAAAAAAAGAAGAGATAGAAAGAGAATATGAAAGTAATTTGTGATTTGGGGGTGAAAGTATGGTCTTGCGACAGGAGGGTGTGAAAAAGGGGTCTTCAGAGCTGCATATTCCCGTGCCCAGATGGCATAGACTCATTCTTACATGGTATTGCTATCACCGGCGACTCATACATCACGCACTGCAAAAAAAGCGAAAGCTTATTGCCGTTAGCGTCCACGAATCATCAGTAGAGATGTCCGCAGTATGGATGTGGAGAATGGCCAGATGCAATTGTTCATTGCCCCTGAATGAAGTTGTTTACAGCAGAGATTACTACATGTTGGTCTACATGAAGCGATTTTCTTTATCAAAATCACAAAATATGTAATATTTAGAGGAGTCCACAGTTGAGTAGTCTTAACACATATTCCTCGTTTGCAGGTGAATACGTGTGTGTGTGTGTGTGTGTGTGTGTGTGTTTTGCTTCATTTTGTCTTCTAGTTATTTTTCAAATTCTTCCTCAACTGTATTGTTTGTTCTTCTTCTACTCTGCTACATTAATCTCTTCCCATTCTTCTTTATTGAACCTTCGTGCTATTGTTACTGTTATATTTAATATGTTACCTGATGACCTTTATGTATCATTTTAATTCGACGTGATGTAAAGTTATTCTTGAATTCAGGCACAGACACTTTATCATGAGCACAACTGAATTTGTTGATAATATGCTCACAAAATCGATTTAAAATTGGATTTCCATAGCCAAACATGTGAATAAGGGATACTTTAACCTTATTTCCCTATATTTATATTTTTCTTTCCATCTAATTTCTCTGTAGATCCTTCTGTAACCCCACCAGAAAAGAAATATATTAATGCCCTGAAGAAAAGCTTTGGTCATGCATCATTCAGGCCGTAAGTATTCAATTCGTTTTATTCATTTCCATTTTCAATAAAAACAATACAACGATATATACAATGATAATAAAGCATTTACAATACCGGAATATAAGAGAATGAAAATATGGAATTAAAATATAAGGCCAAATGGCCTTGTGGAGGCATAGTTCCCTGTACAGTAGATTTACATATACAACAAAAACTAAAAAAGAAACATACATGACAAAACATGACAGGGACATCGTTCATGGCAGGTAATACAAACAGCAATAATCATTAAAAAATCATAAGTTTCAAAACAGTTATAGGTAATGCTGTATAATATGAATATTGGTACAAAAATCAACGATATTTAGATATAAGATGCTGCTTCAAGTATCATATCGAACTTGATTGTAAATCAATGCCTCAATTGAAATTGAAAAATACCGGTAGTCAATTCAGAAAATTTCACATGCATGAAATGTCACAAATTTCAGATATGGTTCATAGTTTCAAGCGTTTCTTGCTGCAAAGTAACTGAATATCAATTGACATAACAATGATTTATTGCATCTTTTGGAAATAAGTTTCCATAAAAACATCTGTCTTGACACTTTAGCGCATGATTCATGTCACAGAAGTTCTGGTTTTAATATGATGTTGAAAAGTTGGAGTTGGAGTTGAGATAATGTCACATATTAAAATTGCTTTTCAAAGCAAGTTTGATGTATTTTTGTCTCACCCAATAAAAGCTTAAAATATTTGTATCATTCATTGTAAAATGCCTACTAAGATTCCCCAATTTTTCCACAATTATTAGCATACTTGTTATTCATGTAGACCTACAGAATATATTTGTATTTCACAGAATATATGCCTATGTATCCCGCTCAATGATATTCACTGTTCTGTGATTACTTGCATGTATATAAGTTACGATGCTGCTGATGCAGTTGCTTTCATCTAGATTTTGTTTTCTTTTGCAGAATGCAGTGGAAAATCATCCATTCCATCTTGAAAAACAGAAGGGATCAGTGTGTTGTCATGGCAACAGGTGTGCAATTTTGATTATAATGTAAAATTATACAACTATATCTCCTAGATCATAATCAAATGGTTGGTCTAGGGCAGTCACATGTGATTCGTGTATTTAGACTATCACTCTTTTTTTCCCATTAAAATCTGTGCAAATAGAAACCAGTACTTACAATTTTACCAAATCTACATTATATATATAGCATTTTTCAGAAATATGTCCTGAAAAATATTGTTGGTGTTGTTATGAACCAATGAATCTGTACAGTAATATACATGTATATGACGGATTCGTGGTTCATAAAACTCTCAAAAGACAGGGCCCAGAATATTATTGTTTTACTTTATTCCTCTGTAGGTTATGGTAAAAGTCTCTGCTACCAGTTTCCGTCCGTTTTCACCGGGGGAGTGAGCATCATTATCTCACCTCTCATCTCTCTTATGGAGGACCAGGTACAAGCTCTAAGGTAAGTTATCTTCATCCCTAAACACTTGTTCAGAGATATGACTAGCAAAACCAATGCATTTTTTTATGATGACACATTCATTCATTTCATAAACCTCTTCTTTTTTTCTTTCTTTTTTGGTGGTGGTTTATCTGAACAAGACTTAGATATCTGCAAAGGGTGTTCAACCTTATTATTATCACTTTTTGTATGCTATCTGGACAAATTTGCCTTTAAAAAAAAGATAAAAGGTTGTCAAGAATTTATGACCTATCAAATGAAAGCAGAGTTTTAATTCATCAAACAAATTGAATCTCTGAATGAATGTCTTATCCTTATGTTAGCACTGACAGAGCAGTGTGTTACAAGCAAACTTCATTCAATATTTCAGGTATCTTGAAGTACTGACAAGACCAAATTTGTCATCAATATCTTGAGTTTTTACACCAGAAAATGAGAGCTATCATCACTTCAAGTTGTGATATTTATTTCTCACATTGTTGTCAATTTTTATTCCAGAATTGCCAACATCAAGGCATGTTATCTAGGCTCAGCTCAGAAAGACATGGCTCAAGCTAGAAGAAATCTGCTCAAGTAAGCCATCCTTTATTTTCAACTTTGTGATAGGATGCAGAAGAAAGGAGGAGAGGAAGAGGAGGAGGAGGATCGAGAGAGAGGTAGAGGATAAAAATGGAAGAGGAAGATGGAGGAAGAGGATGAGAGGAAGAGGAGGAGAGAGGAAGAGGAGGAGAGAGGAAGAGAGAGGTAGAGGAAGAGGATGAGAGAGGAAGAGAAAGAATATAAATATGCACTTTAAGCCTCTTAAAAGTAAGTCCAAGGTATTTTGTCATGAGAGTTAAGACAAATATTGATTTGATTACTGGTATTAGATGTCTGCACTCATCAAATACACCACTTTAGAGGTAATACATGCCATAAATAATCCCAACTACATGTATGAATCCCAAGGACAGGGCTTTTTGAGGAGTAGGACTCCATACATATACATGTACATGTGACATATGATGATATGTTTTACCGGTACACACATATTCTGTCCTCCAAGATAATTTCATTGTTTTCTTCTTCTTTTCAATTGTTATCTTGAATAGAGGAGAGTATAGATTGGTTTACATGACCCCTGAGTTTATATCGGTTGCAACAGACCTCATTGAAGACGTGCAGAGGAAAGTGGGTGAGTTTGAATTCAAATATTAATATGTGCATGGTAGCATGTAGCTTTGCCATTAATTGCAGTTGGAATTTCATTTAGCAGCCTGAACAATTATATTGAATTGAATTTATTCACCACTTTCCTTTAAAAAAATGCCAAGTCAAAGAATACAATAAAAGATTTCTTACAAATATAGAGATGACTATGAAATGGAAAATACGCTAAAGGAAATTGGGAGGGGTTAGATCATCAAAAGTTACAGATACTACACATAATACTAAACTAACACACACAGACAAAGAAATAATACAATGGTTATTACATTTGCTTTTGCGACAAGTACTCTGTGCTTTATTTTTGTCAAAAGTATAGGGTTGGGGTAAGGGTTGCAATTTGATTTTAGGTCAGGTTTAGGGGTAAGGTTAGGTTTACAATGTTCAGTCTAGGGGAGAGTCTCACAAAAACTAATATCAACTTTAAGTTGGACTTAACTATGGCAGGCCGTTCATGCCACTGTTTGCTCTCACCATTATAATCTTTAGATAATATTTATTCCTTCAATAATGGGTTATTTAAAAAATGTAGATTTGTGACCATGATTTGTACGTCTCTTGAGAGACAAATGCCAGTAAATGGTGAAAGCAAACAGTGGCATGAAGGGCCTGCCATATGTAAGTCCAACTTTAAGTCGATCTTAGTCTTTGTAAAACACCCCCCCCCCCCCCCCAGGTTTGAAGTTATTTGGTTATTGTCAGAAATTACAGTTGAGCAATTGTTGCAGGAGCAAATGTCTTAGAACCATAAAAACTCAACAACCATTTTCCTACATGTGCAGGTATTACACTGGTTGCTATTGATGAAGCTCACTGTGTGTCACAATGGGGTCATGACTTCAGGTCAGCATACAGAACTCTGGGAAACCTAAGGCAATTACTTCCTGAGGTCAGTGTGTAATAATTGTTGTTTTTGTTTTCTTATCTCTTTTCTTTTTCTTCTTTCTTTCTTCCTTTTTTTTCTTCCTCAGAAATTAAGAATTTCTTGTAAATAATTTTATTATGTGCAAAGTGTATTTGTATAGTTACCAGAAAAAATGAATTATGTAAACAAAAATGTAAAATCTTTGTTAAACTTTCTGTTGGAAATGAAATAAATAAGAATTGAATTGAATATATGTCTTGTTGCTTTTTTTTTTTCCCTCTCAATATCCAACTTTATTGGGAATATTTACTAAGCCCTTAGAAAACTCTTCAAACCTCAGACAAAGGAGATGTTATAACTCCAGTCATGATATCGTTATTTAGTTTAATTGATCTTTTGTTCTAATTTTTGTTTTAATAGCCTTATCAATTGATTACCCAAATGTATTACAAGTTGCATATTTTGAACGTGAAAGGGGTCTTTCTGGATCAAAGTTCACAATAATATCAAAATACTTCTCCATGTACTATTTGTTGTCTCTTTAGTTAGTGCAAAGGTAAGTGAAGAATGAGATATTTCACGTTCATAGTCTTCTTCTTCTTCTTCCTCTTCTTCTTCTGCTCTCCTTCCTCTTCCTCTTCCTCTTCCTCCTCCTCCTCCTCCTCCTCCTCCTCCTCCTCCTCCTCCTCCTCCTCCTCCTCCTCCTCCTCCTCCTCCTCCTCTCCTCCTCCTCCTCCTCTTTCTTTCTCTGGTTCCATTTCTAGTGCCCACTATACTGTGACTCTCTCACTCACAGCACAAGATGAAGCCTGTTGCTGTTTTGTATATGTACATCAATCTGTCACAACCGTACATTCCTGTTTTACATTTTTGAAACACTACCATACCAGCAAATCAGCATGTTTTTTATACAGGATTCCAAAATAATGTCACTATCTGTTACTTTCTGAAACTGACGGATTATTTCAAGTCACATACTTCAGTAGGAGCAGACCGGAATCTGATTTTACCGTTAATGCTAAAGGGGGGTATCTCATTGAGCGGCGAATGCTGAGGCGAATGCTTGCAAACGTAGCAAATTTGGGTTTGGCAAAAGATCCCAAACATTCACAAATAGTGGCAAAGGATTGGCAAATAGTTGCTAATCTTTGCAAACATTGTCGCTAACATTTGCTTACAGTCGCTAATATTCGCTAACTGCCAAATTCGCAACGTTCGTAAGCATTCGCCGCTCAGTGAGATACCCCCTTTACCAATTATCATTCCTGTTTTTCGTCTCAGGTCCCCTTTCTAGCTCTCACTGCCACTGCCACTCCTATGGTGCAGAAGGACATCTGTAGGTCACTGCATCTCAAAAACCCTGATGTCACCTGTACCAGCTTTGATAGGTCAGTAATACCACTAAGATTACGCCAGGGCCCCGTCTTACAAAGAGTTGATATCAATCGCAACTTATTTACGATTGATATCAATCGCAACTATGTACATAAGAGATAGGAGACTGCAAACCTATGATTGATTGGAGGACTTGCAATTGATCCAAATCAATCATAACTCTTCGTAAGACGGGACCCAGATATGATAGGAGAATAAGGAGATCATTAATATGAGTGTTAAGAATGATGAAGTTGGTATATACTTGTATTTGTATATGTTTGTATGTAGTATGTATTGTGTGTCTATGTATGTGTACTTATATAAATGCAACTGTAGCCATCCGAACCAATTACATACAGGCATCCTGCTACGCAAATACACTTTCGCCAATTACCCACATTGTGTTGGAATGGTCTTTGCCATTGGTTATATGCGTAACGTTAAAGAATCTCGTATTTCATTTAAAATAATCTTTTTCAAAGAAGGTTATCATAATTTGATTTTTTAAGGCAAAATTGTATATTTCAAGATACAAAATTTTGTTATAGATATCATTTCTGTGTAATGAGTATGTGTTGGATCTTTGTTTAAAGCTGTTTTTTCTGTTAACACATACAAAAAAAATGGCTGCAGTTGTGAATGGTCTTGTAGTGACCTGACCTTAGAAGAACTTTGCATTTGTAGATATTATTGTCTTGTCTTTCTTGTGTGGCTTGAAGTCTAGCCTTTTATTCCATTGTCAATCATTTCTTTAGTGACACCTGTTACATTACTAGGGTGCCACACATACTTATTCTGGCAAGCACATTCCACACCCTATGTGTTGGGATGTACAACCACCTAATGTACTGATATAGCTTATACTGTACAGACACATTACACTTGCTTGCCATACCTATTTCATCACTTCTCCTGAGCTGTTCTTATAGAGCACACGTCTTCTAGAGAGAGTCTTGAGTCTACAGCAAAGCTAATTCAGCTTCATCTTAATTCATGTCCTACTTCTTCGCTTGTTTCTCTACTCGGTTCTGAGGCCTTATTACTTTATAGAGATTATAAGTTTCTTCTTCCTTACTTAATCCGCAAAGAAGCGACATTACTTTGTACATAGTCTTACATATTCTTTCTACGGGTGCTGTGCAATATTTGAACTACTACTTGTGATATAATATATGTCCCAAGTGTCGGTACTCAACAGGTGTTTCTACGAGACAAGGTAGGAAAGGAATCATTTTCTATTTCTTTTATTTAGGTGATCAATTTTCTTAAGTCTTAATCAATGAAATGAATATGTTTTTTTTTCTTCGTTTTTTTCAGACCGAATCTCTACCTTCAAGTCCAGCTGAAGACGAATGATGTAGAAAATGATCTTGCCAACATCCTCATCGAAACGCAGAAGTGAGATTAAAATCCTTTCATAAATTTTTGAACCAGTATGATGGGGGGCTGGGTGTCCGATCACTTATCAAACATAAAGCCTTCTCTGTTGCCTTAGGATCGAACATTCATCAACTAGCACTAACTATCTTGAATAATTGTCCTTCATTACATTTTTCAACATAAGTTTTAGAAGCAGAGCTGCCAACCAGTACGATTTTATCGTGTTTTGAAAGATTTTTAGAAGTAAATACGACAGTACGAGTTTTCCTCAATACAATAATTCATAATATCTTCCAAGTGAAAGTCAAACCAATCTAATATGTTTCTTGTTTCAAGATGTTTTGAGAAATATTAGATAAGCCAATATTGCAATGTTATCAATCTTTCAGGTTTAACTATGAGTTTGATGGTTCAACGATCATCTACTGCCCAACTAAGAAGGCCATTTTGTTTCGAAATGTTTTGAGAATGATTATATAAGCCAATATGTCAATATTATCTTTCTTTCAGGTTTAACTATGAGTTTGATGGTCCAACCATCATGTACTGCTCAACTAAGGAGGCCATTTTGTTTTGAGAATTATTAGATAAGCCAATATTTCAGGTTTAACTATGAGTTTGATGGTCCAACGATCATCTACTGCTCAACTAAGGAGGCCATTTTGTTTTGAGAATTATTAGATAAGCCAATGTTTCAATGTTATCAATCTTTCAGGTTTAACTATGAGTTTGATGGTCCAACCATCATCTACTGCTCAATTAAGGAGGCCATTTTGTTTTGAGAATTATTAGATAAGCCAATATTTCAACGTTATCAATCTTTCAGGTTTAACTATGAGTTTGATGGTCCAACGATCATCTACTGCTCAACTAAGGAGGCCATTTTGTTTTGAGAATTATTAGATAAGCCAATATTTCAATGTTATCAATCTTTCAGGTTTAACTATGAGTTTGATGGTCCAACGATCATCTACTGCCCAACTAAGAAGGCCACAGAGAGTGTAGGAAGCACTCTCAAAAGTAAGTCCAAGATCCTTTGTTTGTGTAGAATGATATTTGCTGATCTTAACCTTTGATAGTACAGTCAAATCTTCTTTAGCCAATTCAATTCAGTATTTATTTAAAGAGAAGGTTGAGTTCTGGGAAGAGGTGAAAAATAATTTGTGAGCATTACTCATTCTTATTATGCAAGTGTGGAAGAACATCAGTTAAGACATGTTCCCTGAAAAGCATGGCTCTTCAAATGCCTTCATATTCTAAATATGCATGTAACATCGTAAAAATCGGGGGGGGGGGGGGGGGGGCGGCTTTTTACGCCACGTGTTCGTGTAGTCCCATAAACATCTTTCTGTGCAAGTGTTTGTAACTTTACCAAGACTTGGCCAAATTTCTTATCATTTTGATGATTCCAGACCCTTGCAATACACACAAATTCTTATATGCTAGATGATCAACCTTTTCTGGTCGGTTCCACACCGTTTCGTTCACAATGCAATCGCATGACCAGAACTCAACTTCATCTTTAATTCCATAATAAAAACAGTAACATCAACATATAGTAAATTTAAAAGAAATACTACTTATACATAATTATTATTTAAATAGTAAAATATTGACAGTAAAAATTAGGAATTTGGTTGCTGTATAAAAACCCTAGTGGGTTTGTCTGGACAGCCACCATAAACAGTAAAACTAGTTAAAGAATCATACAAAATGATATATAAATAAACAATAACAAAAACAACAACAACAAAAAAAGAAGAAAAAAAACAATAAAAAGTAGAACATGAGCAAAAACAAGAATATAATAATAATAATAATAATAATAATGTAACTTATATCGCGCCAAATCCACTCTGGAGTGCTCAAGGCGCGTGTAAACAGGAAAAACGATCAAGACTTGAAAAGGAATGTTTTGAGATGAGTTTTGAAAGAATCAGAAGATAAACATTTTTTGATGTCTTCAGGAAGGCCATTCCATAATTTAGGACTAGAGTGTGCAAATGATCTTTCCCCCCACGTTTTGGTAATTTTGGGGGTCACAAAAAAATTGGAAGTGGATGAGCGTAGAGGTCTTGCAGGAGTGTAGTTTTGGATTAGAGAGATAAGGTATTAAGGAGCAGAGCCGTGAACGCAATGAAAGGTAAGCAACAAAATTTTGAAAACAATGCGATATATAGGCAATATAGGCCGCACAACCTTAACAAAATTGCACTGTGGCGTGATATGAGTGTTGTTACAATGAAAGATCACTGAAAATAAGCCTGGTGAAGCTCAAACTGGTACTTCTGCAACAGGCTGTTGAATTCACTCTGGCACCTGGAACCTTAGCCACATGAGGGTAGGTAATGTCTAGGTGACCTCCTTCATGAAGCACAGCAAATGTGTCCTTCCGGCGTTGCAGGGGTGACTTCTCAGTCTTGGAGAGCTTGTTCAGCAGCTGTCTTTGCAGTTCAGCAAATGTGTCCTGGCGTTGCAGGGGTGGCTTCTCAGTCTTGGAGAACTTGTTCAGCCGCTGTCTTTGCAGTTCAAGCAAATGTGTCATTCTGGCGTTGCAGGAGTGACTTCTCAGTCTTGGAGAACTTGTTCAGCAGCTGTCTTTGCAGTTCAGCAATGTTGCTCCTGGTAGCCTCACTGTCATCAGTAGCCCAGGACCTGAACCCCATGAAAGTGTCTGCATCAGCCTGAGCGGCTGCAGGGGGACAATGAACAGCGGCATCAGTCTCATGGTCAGACCGGGGGGCTCCTGCTGCTGTAGCCAGAGCTGCCCGGCATGGACCTTGGCCTTCTTACTGACAGGGACCCTCTTTTTATAATAATAATAACCTAGGCTTCTATAGCACATTTCATCGTCAGAGAAAATAACAATGCGCTTTACATTACTAAAACAACAAAATTACACATAACAACTAATTCATGAACTAAAGAAATATCAAAATAAGAACAAGATTAATAATAATCAATCATTATAAACATCAATTACAGAGAAATGAAAGCAAATTTTGACATAGTAGATGTAATTAAATTTTGAAGAAATACAATAATGCAGTGATGCAGTTTAAGTGACATTAGAAAGCGTTTACAAGTAGGATTTCATTTGAAATTTAAAGAAAGTTAAGTCTGTGATGGTTCGGAAGGTAGTGGGGAGAAAATTCCAGAAGCGCGAAGCTGCAGATGAGAATCTTCTTGATCGGTATGACTTGAATTAAGAAAACAAAGTATGTGGGTAAAAAAAACAGAACCATTAACAATCTTTTTTTAACGTAACATTTATAAATTGCATATTGCGCATAATATGAAATAATATTCAGGAGAGAATATATCTTGTTTCCAATGTCCGTACCTACAAGTAATATCTTTTGGTTTATTTGTATTTCTACTTGGAATAGCTTAAATATCAAATTACATATTATTTTCAAAAACAAAGTCACATCCTTGCAATGTAACACGTAGTGAAACATTGAGTAAACTTGTCCACTAGAGTTGCATAAATTATTATTCACAATTTGCCATTTATATAAGTTTTCTTTTGAGGCAATAAACCTGTGAATCATCTTGAAAGTAAATTGTTTAACTTTATTATTACAAATTTGCTTTAAATTAAATGAAAATACATCTTTCCAAACAAAGTCATTATCTAGATCTAAAAAGGAATTCCAAAAATAAATTATATTTGGTTCTCTTGACATCTTACGTGTTGACAAACAATAGTAATCTTTTACTTTCATAACAAAAAAATTCACTTTATCCCCTGTTTCTATTTCTATAAAATTCAAAATATCACATTCATGTTCAAAGTCATTGACATAGCTTAGTCTATCTAACCAACACTGCGGAAATGCTTTCTTAAATTTTGTATATATTTATAATCGAATAGAAACAAATCAAGTCAAACAGATGTCTTTATATATTTGTCTGTTAGAAGCCAGAAAGGCATTAACTTGTATCATTTCACACAGAGTTTATGCTCTTCTGGCGCTAAACATACGATACAATGATTACACTTTTTCATTTTCTAACAGATCTTGGAGTGAAAGCAGATATCTACCATGCAGGAATGAACCCAGAGAGGAGGAAAGAGAATCATCACAAATTTGTTCGAGACGAACTTCAGGTAATCAAAGTAACATTGATTATAAAGCTTGTTCACATATGTCACTCATAGGCCTTTTTAGGCCGGCCGTCTGATAAAGAGTGTGATTTTTTAATAAAGAAATAAACTAAACTAAACTATGTCACCATAAACTACTCCAGTTTATGCCAGTGTTCGTATTTCTGTATCTTTAATTCAAAACACTGAGAAGTGAGTGTGTGGAGGACCTTTGTTGAAGCAGCTACTTTTGTCGTCCCCTTGCCATTCATTTAGTACACGCAAAAATAATACTGTGGTTACCGCTGCATATGTGTACAAGCATGTAGTGAGCCTTAAGGGTGCGGTAAAAAAAAACTGCATGGTACCGTCGGGTAAACAAAATTCCCAGCTCAATCAACTGTCAAACTCACCACTCAGAAACTGGGACCAAATGTCCAGATTTCTGTTTGGACTCGGAGGAAAATGGATTATTCTGCCATCTTTGGTTTTTAAAACAGCATTGTATACTGTTATTATTATTATTAAATCGCCGCCTTCAACTGCAACTCGGAATTAAAATTGCTTGAGTTTTCGGAGATGGGCCTGGGATACTGCTCCCGTTGTATGGTGGTGACAACAAAAATAATAATAATATTTTTTTTTAATTTTTTAAAAAACATGGCGTCCGAATATTCAAGTATTTGCTTGTAAGCCTGGGAGTGTACTCAGGTACCTCATTACACGGTTGTGCACACTGCACAGCCTTAGTTTGTTGGTTGGTTTATGGAAAATTATCCTCTAAGCTACACTGTAATCAGTAACATTCAGAACTTATTTCTAATTTTTTAAAAATTTGAGCTCTGATGAATTTATATAAATTCATTGAGTTTTGCAGGCAGATATGATTGACATCAACACATATTCTGATGGAGTCCAAGTTATTCATGTAGAATGTATTGCACAGATTCGTAATATAACTATTATCCTTTGCACATTGTTCTGTTGTGCAGATTTTTGCAAGCTCATCAATTGGTTGATGTAATATGAATCCAAGCTGTGGAATCTCTCAAACAACATTCATATCTGTGCACTAGTTGGTGGTCTGGAAATATGACATGTATTAATGAGACCGGATTTATAAATGTTTAAAAAAAAATGTCCTGTGCTTAATATCTTGTTTATAGTGCATCGTGGCAACAGTTGCGTTTGGAATGGGAATCGACAAGCCAGACGTCAGGAATGTAATACACTATGGAGGTAAGCAGGGGTTAGCATTTAATAATGATGATGATGACGATGATGATGACAATGATGATGATGATGCTGATGATGATGTTGATGATAATAATGTTGATGATGATGAGCACTGTTTCTTATATAGCGCTCATGTCTGTCACACAGTGACACTCTTGGCACCCCAGCGTTATTACCCTATCAAAAATATAGCAGCCAAATGCCTAGCACTCTAGCAAATCAGAAACACGTTTTCACCATGAAGGGCAGTGGCAAACGTGGATTAACACCATGCCAAAGGACGTCACTGCTGAGCTAGGATTCGAACCCTCAACTCTGTGATTGAGAGTCAAGTGAATGAACCACTATACCATGACACCTCGGCAAACAAGACAAGATAGTTATAGTCACAAAGAAGAAAATCTACATAGAAACAAAATTGCTTAGTTTTAAAATTAGGGCATGGTGGGATGCGAAGCAATTGCTATATCTTCTTCATTCATTGCTATTTTACATGTTATTCTCAAATGCAAATTGGCAACACCTAACATGCTGTTATCGCTTCTCTCTTTAGCTCCAAAGGATATTGAATCTTACTACCAGGAGATTGGACGAGCGGGACGTGATGGGATGCCAAGTAACTGCTATATCTTCAACATTTATTGATATTTTACATGTCATTCTCATTTGCAAATTAGCAACACCTAACATGATGTTATCGCTTCTCTCTTTAGCTCCAAAGGATATTGAATCTTACTACCAGGAGATTGGACGAGCGGGACGTGATGGGATGCCAAGTAACTGCTTTGCCTTCTACAGTCGAGCAGATTTTGTATTAAATTGGTAAGTTTGTGCAATTATTTCTTATTTGTTTGGGCTTCAGATAATGTTTGTATTTTCTATATACTTGTATATTGAAGATTATTCAAAATTGTTTATTCTTTCAATCAATTTGAAAAGTACATTAGAGACCTGCACAATGTATAGCAATCATGAACTGTTAAAAGCAGATGTACACATCATTTCTTTCTTACTGTGTCTCGTTGAATATTAGATATTAGAAATTCGGTTTGTTGACATGTCTGTATCCCCACATGTTTTCATTGCTGTCATGTTCTCTTACCATTTCAGGCATTTTGTAAGAGAAATCAAGAGTGTAGAGTTCCAAGAACACAAAGCCAAAATGATCAAGAAAATAGAGGACTATGTTCAAACTTCGCAATGCCGCAGAAAGTAAGTTATCAAATATGCACTTTATCGTTTCAATCAAATATGTATCTTCAAGGAAGAAAGTCCTATTATATTTTAAAATGCGGATTGCATACATTGTGTGTTAATAGGTAGGACAAACCATAATATTTGTCCTACCTAGCAACATTTAATGTATTTAATTCACATTCTGACTATTGAATTACAATTATAGGTAACAGGTGAATAGAATAATTTATAACGAGGCACTTGACAAAGATCCATGCATACATGTCATTACATTACAAAAATAATCTATTACATGTAGTGCTTTGTAAACTGAAGATGAGAATATGTGGGGTGACACTAATATAGTAGTGATGTACCTGATATGCTTGAGCGCTAGTTACTTTGGCAGCTCGGCTATAACCAGGGTAATATGTATAAAGCGCCATGAGCATCAGAGCCTTGCGGATACCGGGGCTATATAAACATCCGTATTAGTATTGCTGGACACAAATTTCTTTTCTTTTTTTAGATTGATCTTGTCACATTTCCAGCACAATGCAAAGAGCCTATTGACTGGGAGTAGAGATTGCTGTGATAACTGCAAAAGGAAGTAAGTCTTTAAAGATAAAGACCAGTTATGGTCATGCGATTGCATTGTGAAAAAAACATTGTGAAATCGATCAGAAAAGGTTGATCATCTAACATAGATGTACTGCAAGGTTCTGGAATCATCAAAATGATAAGAAATTTAGCCCAGTCTCCATACAGTTACAAGCACTGTACACAGAAAGATGTATATGGGACTACGCACACGTGTGTTTTTATCTCTCACACACCAATAGATAAACTAATTTACCAAATATATCAATTAGTAGGCAAAAAAATTATCATCATGTATTATTCAAAACATATTCTTTCACATGATTGGTAATAAGAGCTTCCATTTCATTGTTTGAAATTGGGGCGTTTCCAATACTGGTCTTTACCTTTAAAGCTCTAATACTTTAAGGATCATTTTGCCCTTTTGTCAGAAGGCATCAATCAATAATAATAATAATAATAATATTTAGCTTTTATATAGATTTATATAGATTTAGTACTTCATGTATTGATTGAGAGAGCATGTAGCTCTAATTTATTTCTTCCAATATGTACAATTAAAGAAATAAAAACAAAAAAGTATGTCATGCATTATTTCATGTTTACATCAATATATTTGATAACAGAGTAATACATACATACATATGAGCTAGTAATACAATTAAATACAAAGAAATGACAGAAAAGGGTGTTTAAAAAAAAATGAGGGGGATCACCAGAACAAAACAACAACAAAAATATATATATCAGGGCTTAAATTAATCCAAGGCCACCAAGGCCATGGCCTTGGATGCCCCTTTGATTGGCCTCAATGCCCCTCTCATTGGCCTTGGACATTTTGTGTGCCCTTTCCAATTCTTCCTATTTGTTCTGTAATATAGGAATGTGGCCTTGCCCTAAAAATATTGAAATTTAAGGCCTGATATATACAACAAAAAGGGGGAAAAAACATTTAACGTAGAAAAAAAAAGGTTTGTTAAATTTCACATTCATGCACAAAACAAAAGTGTTGAGTGTCACATGACACCGTTTTCAGCCTATAAGATACTTGCTGACAAATCAAACATCTTTTTCACTCCCATTCCCAACATCATTTTTGTATACTAGTATAGAAATTATTAAGTTTTATAAAGGATTACCATGCCTTCTAGCTTAGCTTATGTGGCAATCCTTCTTCATGATTATTATATATTAGTATTACAATGTAAATATTTTTTGTTGATGATGTATTAGGTATATGATTTGTTTGTCAGCTTGTAACTTTGGAAAAAGACCATGAAGATAAATAAATTAAATCAAAATCAAATCAACTGCCCTATTTGATATAATCTTGTTTAAACCAATCTTTTTCGTGAATAGACTTGAAGGTGGAGAAGATAGTGTTGAGAATAGCCAGTCACGAGAGCTAGATCTCACCAAAGAGCTGCATCATCTACTCTCCGCTATCGACATCACAGGAGGGCGCTTTGGTCTCTCTATTCCTATCTTTTTTCTCAGGGGTTCGGTAAGTACATGCTTCATGGTGTGAGTTATATATACTTCATAAATTAATTTTCAAGTCTATGTGGTCTCATATTATCTACACCTATGACCCGTTTCACAAAGCCTTTTTTGAATGACAAATGACAAAAATCAGAGACAAATCTGCTGATGACCAATCAGAAGCAAGGATTTCACTAGCTTATAAAAAAAACTTTCATTTGTCACTGATAACAGGTTTTGTGAAATGGGGCCCTGGTCTTTCTTGGCCATTAATCCTAAAAGGGCTGAGTTATTTTTGGTGCTCGCATATCACGGCATGCATTCACGGGTGGATTCTGCCCCCCTCCCCCACACACACAGCCCAGCCCTTTTAGGGTGAAATGCAGAGACTAGAATAATGTTTTCCCATGAGAGCTAGAGTGTTGATATTGCATACAAACTGAGAGTTGTTACCTTAGCCATCTTTTTCCCAATTCAAATATTAATCATCAAATCTCCCTATGGCTTCGAAGCATTAACTGTGATTGAAAGGAAAGACATTTTTGATTGAATTTAAGTCTGTGTTACCATAATATTAATGTTATAAAGTGTTGGATGTTTTTAGAAATAAAATAATAGTAGAAATGGTGCTATGGTGATATTGCTACATTTTGTTCTTTACTTGTTTTGTTTTCTCATTTCTTTCACATCCCATTTCCCCTACACAGTTCAATCAGAGGCTACCTCAGCACCTCACAAAGCACAAGAAGTTTGGAATTGGAAAGTGAGTACATTTTCACATCTAGTTCATACTTTCACTTACACGCCATAAATGTATGTCTCTCAAATTTATTTGTTAAAAACAAATTATTTTATAATAGTGATAATAATAATTTGAAAGAAGGAGGAGAATAGAGAGAAGGAAGAGGAGGAAGAGAAGAAGAAATAAAATGTGTAAGGTACCAAATTGACTTAAGATCAAATGCTTCAGGTACACTAGTGCAAAACATGAAAATCCTTTAAAACCATTATACGCAAGAGAACAACATGAGTAGGATAGAACTTTAAAAGAGTTTAACTTATTTCCCTTTTATTTGCAGGTTGTGTGCTTTTTATCTGTCTTCCTAAATTCACAAGTGCAGCTGTGATTAACAAAGATAAATAAGAATAACCATACAAAAAAAATTTGTGCACAACTATTATGAACAATGCAGACAATTTCACTTTGTATATCCTCATCAATTCTGTGACTTTTTTTTATTCATTCTATCAATTTTAGGTACAGACCAGAAAAGTGGTGGAAGGCATTTGGTAAGAGATTATATTTGTTATATCTCCTTTCAATTATTCTTAATTATATACCTCTCTTAAGAAATCCAGCCATCTGATTGGTCGAAATTGCAGTCATGGTTTTAGCCATTCCCGTAAATAAACGAAATATGCCACGCCCATGTGATAGTTCGAGGGTAAAATTCAAGTTACCAGGAATAGTTGAGTCTTGCTTAAAAACTGGTTTGAGCGATCGCGGATACCATACGTGTTGTACGTGTGCGAAGAATTGGTCACTAGCTTGATACCAATTTTTTAATACAGAGCGCAGCCGCAGACGACCGTATGGCAATCTCGATCGTACTGAATTCCAAACAAGGCAAAAATGGCTGAAGAAACTCTCCCAAGATTTTAACTTCTTGATGATGATCAAATTCAAGACTTTGATTCTGAAGAACACCAAAAGGGTACGTGAAATTCTCCATAAAAATATTGTATGCTAAAACCTTCCCATAGAGATTGCACACATCTCTACTAGATCTATGCAGTACAAGTGCATTGCGCACTCATGCTAAATTGGTCGATGTTTTAATTACCAAAATGAGATTCAAACCAATATTGCTCGTGATCCTGAAGGTGATTCTCAATAAGTGAGGTGTCATATGAAAGAGCAGGTTTTTATCCATATTCCCCACAGGGGCCCACCCCCCAAATTTTAAAAATATCTTGCTTAGAGTCAGACTAGAAATAAACTCTCAAAGATACTCATAAAATACAACCATGCAGATAAACTAGAGAAAGGCCAAGGTGGTGTCATAAGTTGACACTTTTTTTCGGCATATAAAAGTATTAATGACTGCTTTAATATTCAAGAAATAGTTGTTTTTATACGCCGGGCTGGGGTTTGAACCCCGTACATTGTGATCTGCAGTCAGGTGACTTATCCACTAGACCACAACACTTTAATGAAGTACTAAGTAAAGTCTTATCGGTACTCAAGCAAGTGTCGGACTAATTTTGCTGCTGTTGTTGCTGATTTTTGTATTGTTGTTACTGTTGTTGTTCTTGATGTTGTTGCTGATCAGAGGCTCTCTGCCATGATAAAATAATAATCCAACAAACCAAGACCAGAGCTCCGTCTTACAAAGAGTTGATATCAATCACAACTATGAACATAAGAGATAGGAGACTGCAAACTTGCGATTGATTGGAGGACTTACGATTGATTTGGATCTATCGCAACTTTTTGTAAGAATGGGCGCCAGCTGTTGCATACAATCCTCTTTCTTTTTTTAAAGGTAAGGTGCTTTAATATTGAACTTTGTTTCTTTCTTCTTCTTTTCTTCTCACAGGATATCAGATGTTGAACATGCGTCTTCTGGTGGAGCAAGCGATCCCAGGCAACAAGTTCTGTCAGACTGTGGATCTATCACAAGAAGGGTATACAATGTATAGGAGCATGGAGAGCGGAACAAATGCTTCATTCATGCTCGAACCAAACCAGGTGAGAAATTATGGTGGTGGGGATGGTAGGGTGGTAATAGTGGAGGCGGTGCTGGTGATGTTGGTGGTGGTGGTGGTGATGATGTTGGTAATGATAAAAGTGATAGTGGGGTCATTCCATGTCAAATCACCCAAAAAATCTGAAAATCTTAACCCGACCATTTTTGATTTTGATGAAACTTGGTGAACTTGTTGAGTGTGATCTCACAGCACCAAATCCCAAATTTTAGGTCAATCAGGTGAGGGGTTTGGGAGATACGGCCCACCAAATTTTGAGATTTTTTCAAAAATGGGGGTGGCGGGCCTACCTTTGAACCCTTGTATCTCGGGACCTAATGGGTCAATCTTCTCAAAATTTGTATTGTTGGAAAGGGTATTCAATAAGGATTCCAAATCTGCCGCCATTTTGAAGATTCGTACATGTTGGGGTACTTTGACCTCTTGACCTCAGATTTGACCTTGAAATTGACCTTGTGGATCACGTAACTTTGACAACATTTTTCATGAAATGTGATTTCTGACATGTTCACTAAAACATATAAAAGTTTCAGAGATATAATATTTTTTGTTTTGGAGCAATAAGGATTGAAAGTATCCATGCTCACAGATATTCACAATAAACCCTCTAAGGACAATTACCCCAGAGGACAATTACCCCCCCCCCCCACCCTTATTTGTTAAAGGGGAAGTCCATCCTGATAATAAAGTGGTTTTAATCAAAGCAGATTTTTTTTTTTGGGGGGGGGGGGTATATTATTCTTGAGGGGTAATTTTCCCGGGGGGGGGGGGGGGGGGGGACAGATTGTCCTAGGAGGTAATTTTCTGGGGGGTAATAATCCTCTGGGTGTGATAGTCCTTGGGGGGTAATTGTCCTCGGGGGGGGGGGGGGACATTTCCTGAGGGTTAATTTTCCAGGGGGGTAATTATCCTAGAACTGACTCAGAGGCCTAAAGCCATACATCCTGTTAACCCTTTAGGCCTATATGAACTTGTCATTTTATTTCTATTCAAGTACTACTGACAATTAGGATGGATATGCCTAAAACAAAAAAGCATGTGGAAGATGTATGTTGTACTGTGCATATTGCATGTATTGTATACATTATAATAGGGTTTATTGTGAATATCTGTGAGCATGGATACTTTCAATCCTTATTGCTCCTAAACAAAAAATATTATATCTCTGAAACTTTTATATGTTTTAGTGAACATGTCAGAGATTGCATTTCATGAAAAATGTTGTCAAAGTTACGTGATCCACAAGGTCAATTTCAAGGTCAAATCTGAGGTCAAGAGGTCAAAGTACCCCAACATGTACGAATCTTCAAAATGGAGGCAGATTTGGAATCCTTATTGAATTCCCTTTCCAACAATACAAATTTTGTGAAGATTGACCCATTAGGTCCCGAGATACAAGGGTTCAAAGGTAGGCCCGCCACCCCCATTTTTGAAAAAATCTCAAAATTTGGTGGGCCGTATCTCCCAAACCCCTCACCCGATTGACCTAAAATTTGGGATTTGGTGCTGTGAGATCACACTCAACAGGTACACTAAGTTTCATCAAAATCAAAAATGGCCGGGTTAAAACCACTAGGTGATTTGACATGGAATGACCCAGTGGTAGTGGTAATAGTGGTAGAGGTGGTGATGGTTGGGTGGGAGTGATGATGATGATGGAAGTGGTAATGATGATGGATTTGATATTGATGGTGGTGGTGGTGGTGATGTTGATGTTGGTGGTGGTGATGTTGCTGATAATGGTGGGGATAGTGGTAATCGTAATAGTGGTGGCGGTGGTGATGATGATGGTGGTGGTAAAAGCAGGCCTGATAAAAACCTGATTTAAATCGGTTTCCCGATTATTATTTTTTTTACCAGATTTTTTTTTTCTTCCCTTTTTTACCCTGATTTTCCCAATTTCCCCGATTTCCCCCTTATTTTCTATATTCTTCCCTATTTTGTCTTATTTTTTCCCCAATTTTTCCCAATGTTCTTACTCTAAAGGGGAGATGTTGTTAGATGCCATTTTTTCCCAGCGAATCTTTTTTTAATTTTTATTCAAGGGGGGTGTGGTTGAGGCGAAAAAAACAAAAAAAAATTTTTTTTTTTTTTTTTTAGTGCTCACTATCACCCCTGTAAAAGTGATAGTGGTAGAGTTTGGGGTGGGGGTCATGATGGTGGTGGTGGTGGGGGTGGTGGTAGGGATGATGATGTTGGTGGTGGTAAAGGTGATAGTGGCAGTGGTAGTGGTTATAGTAGTAGAGGTGGTGGCGGTAGTGGAAGTGGTGATGATGATCGTTGAGACTGCAGATGGTAATAGTGATGGTGGCGGTGGAGCTGATGATGATAATGATGATGATGGCTGTATAGTTATGCAAGGGAAAAAATAGTTTCAGAACTTAAAAATGCTTTTTTGATAGTTTTTGATAAATTAATCTTGTTTTTAAAAAAAATTTCTATGAAAAAAATGCCTGGTAGTTTTACCAAGTCACCGGTTTATCTTTCTCCCAATTTCCTCCAGGAGCTACGGGCAGCCATGAAGGAGAAAGACAGGGTCAAACCCACTATCCTACCCCAGAAAACCCCAGCTCAGATCAGCCGACAGATCCTTCCGAGGGTACAGACGGGTTCCTGGAACCAATACATGCAGGCTAGCGTGGGAGGTGCCACTGAGGATATTGTCGCTACACAGAAACCAGTAGACCCCAAAGAGCAAGAATTCCAGGTGAGGAGGGCACATTAGATTAACTTATTTCCTGCTATCTAATGAGTCCTGATGAAAATAGGTAATGATAGAAATTATGACGATGATGATGGGGATGATTACAAAGAGAAAGAGGAGGGAAAATAAGGAAGAGAGGACTATTTGTAATCATAAGATGATGAAGCAGATCCTAATCAAATGATTGGTTGAGAGTGTACATAACCAGGCATTTATTTTGCCTAACACCTAATTTTACTAATGACCGGTCATTAGTAAAATCATGTTATAAAACATTATTTTATGTAACAAAGCAAACATCATCTTATAAACAAATGATACACCTCGGGCGTGTTAGACTTTTCCAAAGGTACCTTATGTGGGTAATTCTTGCTAATGTCCTCACTGCTGTGTATTATATGTATACTAGCATGTGTATTGGTAATTGATGGATTTACAAGAGTTGATATTCTCTCATTTTAAGCCTGTGTTTCTTTTAGCAGTATGTAGAATGCCTACATGAACTAATTTTTCATGCAGACATGTAATCATTAGGCATGTGACTTTGCTTTGCTTTGCAGGCTATATGCCTAGATACAAGTAAAAAGTACTCTTTGATCTGGCAGAGGTTTGCTTCACTTACTTTTTGTTTCATTATTTATATTAATTAATTGACACACTGATTGTATTGAAATATAAAACTTTATTTTTATGTCAATCTATTTTGTCTAATTCCGGTTTTCTCCTTAGGGTAAACTGTACTCCAAACTGATGAATCTGAGGAACAATATAGCATCTGAGATGGGTGCCGCCCCATACATGGTTGCCAACAATAAGAATCTCCTAGACTTAGCGGTTATAAGGTAAGAAACAACATTGGTTTTGAAAATGTATGCTTCATAGAAGTGTGATTTTTTTTCTGAATTACTCATTTTCTATCCACGACTCTATTTTTGTTGGGTAACTAGAAAAACTATATGAATGGAAAAAACCTAAAAACTTGTATATACATTAGAGTATATAAATCAAAATGTTATAAAAAAGCAACAGTGATCTGGGCGTTTTCATTGAGAATAGTATGACTTTAAATGGGCATTTTTTATCCAGTATATTATGATTTTAAAGAAGTATGTTGGAAGATTTGGTTGCATAAAAGCTTTGATTTTTTGTTTAATATACCTTTACTGGTTTCACAGCTGTAAGATTTAAAGATGTTCATTTGTCGGTATAAGGTAGTCGTTCTTGGTAGGCAACTTAGCAATCACTACATAACACTGAGCCAATGGGTATTACACTTCTGTGCGTACGTCCGTGTGCTGCCCTCTATATACCCACGCTTGAGCAACTTTAACCCCGACCCACTTTAATTTCCCTGCCTCAACTTGATTGACATGTAATCAACACTAAGAATCTCCCCTTCCTGAAATCTACACAACTGGAACAAGTCAAACAAGTAATTCACTTCAATCAGGAAATTCTTCTCATGAAATCTACCAGCAGGAATTTCTCCTTTGTTAGTGGAGTGAAATCTACAAACAGAAAATTTCTTGCATGCGAATTCTACTTTATTGTTTTTCTCGATCGGAAGATTGTAAAGTACTTGCTCATGACCATATTAGGTAACATTTTGCAACCTAGTTAGATATTCATGATGCAACCTAATTAGATATTCATGATGCAACCTCATTCAAAATTCATGTTCAACCTTATAAGGTTTATAACCAAAGTGCAATCTTATTAGATATTCATGATGCAACCTGATTAGAAATTCATGTTGCAACCTGATTAAATAACTATGACCCCTGTTACAGTGAGCAAAAGGCCGGGCCAGGCCGCGGCCTGGCCTAGCACTGTAAACGCGCAAAAGGCCAAATGCGAGGCCAAACTGGCCGCCCATTTGGCCCTGCTCTGCAGGTAGTCTCGGCCGCGGCCTTTTCTCACTGTAAACGCATGCATGGCCAGGTCGTGGCCTGGTCTGGCATTTTCTCACTGTAAACGCACCAAATGCGCGGCCAATTGCGGGGCCAACTGTTACCACACAAGTATGGATATTTTGGCACTGTTAGGGTTAGGTACACAGTGTAGAATGTCATCATCTGACCCCTTCCCCCTTTTTTTTCTTTCTTTCTCGTCTGATTTCTTCAGACCTGCAAGTATCAAGTCCATGTTGAAGATCGATGGCATCGCTCAGGCAAGAGCAGATAATTTTGGTGCTCAGTTCATCGAAGCCATCAAGTCGTTTTGTAAAGAGAATGACATCCAACTGGACAATTTCCCAGCATCAGCTCCATCAAGCATCAGTGATAAAGTGGTAATTTCTAATCACTTTCTTTAATTTCAAAGGTATAGACCAGTTATGGTCATGCGATTGCATTGTGAAAGGAACGTTGTGGAATCGATCAGAAAAGGTTGATCATCTAGCATATAAGTATTGGTGTGTACTGCAAGGTTCTGGAATCATCAAAATGACAAGATATTTGGCCCAGTTTTGGTAAAGTTACAAGCACTGTAAACAGAAAGATGATATAGGACTACACGAACGTGTGGCATAAAAATCTGTCCTGATTTTTATGATATTACATGCCATATTTCGAATATTAAGGCATTTGAAGAGCCATGCTTTTCAGGGAACATTTTTACTGTGATGCTCTTCCACACTTGCATATTATACAATGATAACACTCACCAATTATTTTTCACCAAACTCAACCTTCTTTTTAAGTACACAGTTGCGATCGATTTAAAATTGTGTGTAAGTTGAATCAATTGCAACTCTTTATAATACAATGCCCGGATCTCAACTTTATCTTCACCAATTCATTTCATGACCATTTTCTATCAGGGAAAAAAATACACAGGGACTCGGGGCGAATTAACCCCCAAATGCCCCAAAGAGCCCCCCAAAGTCATAAAGGAGCCCCCCCCCCCCCCCCAATTTGCATAGAGATCAATGCAAAACACAATTAAAGAGTGCAATTTTAATGCAAGCAAGCTTGAAAAGTAGCCCCCAAAATCATTTAAATATTTTTTCCCCTGATTTTCCTCCCTACAGGAGAGCAGTCAGAGCAGTGGCCCGTCATCATCGGGGGGATGTACCTTCCTACGAGGAGCTAAGGTTGGCAAGCTCTCGGAAACCAAGAATGAATCGTATACCCTCTTCCATGAGAAAGGAATGACACTTGTAAGTCTGTTATCCATCTTGGAAGAGAATTCAGACCTTGATAACAATTTGCTATGAAGCCCCTCTAAAGTGTTGGGAGCCCCAAAAATTTGATGGCAAAATTTTACTTAAATTGTATCATAATGTGAAAGAGGATGTCATTTAAGACAGATTTCTGCAAGGATTTTCGAAACAAATGTGTTTGAAGTCGATTATTGATGAAAGAATACAAAATTTTGGTTTTCTGAGTACAACAGAAAACCCAATTATATACCGTATTCTTTTATCAATATTTGTCTTCAAATACTATTTGGGGAGATCTTTGCAGGAGTATGTGTAAAATAACATCCACTTTCACATTATGAAACAATTTAAGTGAAATTTTGCCATCAAATTTGTTGGCGAATTTGAGGCTCCCAACACTTTAGAGGGGCTGTAAATACGTTAACACTAACAAGGAAATTGAGTACCGAGTGAAACAAAAGGAATGGTAAACTTAATACATTTTCGGAAATGCGAAGCTGCCAACCATTCCAATTTTGGAGGAATAATTCCTATTTTGGGGGCCTGAAAGCTATTGTTTTGAACCCTAGATTCCTGGTTCTCTTTTTTATGAAATATTCTGTGTGGAAAGTATACAACATAGACTGTATTCCTAATTTTGCTTTGAGAGATTTCTCATTTTTAATATGAAAGATTGGCAGGTATGTAAATGAAGTTTTGACTTGTAATAACATATATTTGAAACTGCTTTACTTTTGATATATGTCCATATCATATGCTGCATTTTCATTAGTTAGTTTATCTCCTTTTTTAAATACTTTTCCCCTCCCATTCTATCTTGATTGTACTGTTATTTGATTGTAATCTTTTAACCAATACAAAATGGGCCATTCCATTCAATGTGTCTCGTGTACCATATACGGTATATCTTTTTTGTCACATATTTCATCCGAAAACGCTAAATCTGTTGTGATCATTGAATAATAGTGCTTTCTGGTATAACTACCATGAGTAAAACAATGATTTCAGGAGATTTGTCATTCCTGGATGAAATATGTGAATAACTGTCATACGTCGTACGGGGCACATTGCAAGGAATCGCCCAGATTGTTTTCAGGTTAGATTTCATCTACCGGTACTAGAAGTTAACAAAAAGTGTACTGGTAAACCTTTAATTAGACTTTCTAATGTATTATCTGATATTGTTTGATATTTTGATACGAAGATGAAATGAAAGTCTTCATTTTATGAATGAATGTTATTGAAAGAAAAAAGAAAGAAAAAGGATTTCATCTACTTCTCGCTCTTCATCCTCACCCTTGCAGGAAGACATAGCAATCAGGAGAGGGCTGAAGGTTTCCACCATCGGAGGTCATCTAGCAGATGCCATCGAAGCTGGCTATCCTGTCAATTTTGCAAGAGGTATGTCACAAATGTAAAGGACCTACATGACTAATTTTATGATATACAGTAGGCTTACGGTTGCACCATGTGAGAGAGGGGGAGGAGGATTGGGGAATCCTTAAAAATGGACTGTCAGTAATCTTTCTTTTTTGAGTGTGTGTGTAGTCCTGAAAATGATGTCATCATGGACAAATTATGAAACTTATGGAATACCGATAGATAAAGCACCTTTACCGTTATTTTATTCAGCATTCAAAGATACAATACATTGAAGACTTGAGATAATAAAGAAAAAAAGATTCAGCTTCCCCTGCTGCACCTCCTGAAGTTGCCTGGAAGGAAAAGAGGAATGGGGAATTCCCACGACCCCTTGGGCCCTTCACACTGTTTCCTGGAAGCGCATCAGAGAATTCACGAACATAAAATGATAATGATAAAAACAAAACAAACAATCATTAAGAAGATTTACATTGATTCCAAATAAATCTTTGAGTTTCCTAAGGATTGAGGGCAGTGTGATAAGTACATGCCTGACTCAATATGGCAAGTTGTTTCATATTCTGGAGAATGTAAGGAAGAATTTGATATTTGTGTTTATCTCAACTGGTCATGGTATATGCAATGACGGAATACTGTATGTACCAGTACATGTAAAACAAATCTGCTTCTTTTGCCTTTTATACATTTTTTAAATCTTATCTTTTATTTCAACTCTCTTTTTCCCCCTCGATTATCTGTTCCAGTGTCTTCAATTTTTAATTTCTTTTTCTTTATTCTGCTTTGAGGCTCGTTCAGATGAGATGCGGCAAAACTATGGCGATTTTTTATTTATTTTTATGATGACCTAAAATGTAAAGCACTTAGAGACATTTGTATTAAGCACTATATAAGCGGAATATTATTATTATTATTTATATTTGTACAGAGCTAAAAAAAATACATGCAGGATTTATTTACCGTGTCATATCTTTACAATCCTTAAAGTCTGCCACATTTCCTGCTCTGATCCTGTCTTCAAAATTAATCTTGTTTCGTCTACTTCCATTGATTAGTTTACTCCTGATCCATAGTAAGTTCTTATATTTCTGTTTCCTTTTATAGCTGGAATCACACCATCAATACAGAAAGAAATTGAGAAAGTCATCAGAGACCCTCCAATCAATTCAGGTATTTATTCATATTTAAAATCAATGTTTTCATCCTAAAACTTTGCATTATGTTTATTAAAGCATTTACAGTCTACATTTCGCTAAGCTACTTAAAGGGGAATTAACCTCTTGACTATGAAGCATTATCATGACATAAAGAGTAAAACATTTCATTTGATATAAAAAGCATAGCTGTAGGCCAAATAATATCATCTTGCAAGTACAATAAAGAGACCCTACTTTGCCATATTTACGACGTCGTCTGCTCCCCAAGGAAGCTGCCGCTTTGTTGAAATTTCCCTTCAAAACTTCTGAGTTGTGGTGTATCTCAAACAGAACTGATGTAGCGTGCGGCTCGCGTGTTATGCAATACACATCAAACATGGTGCACTGCCAAGTATTTGGTTGTAATAATTGTTCCTCGAAAGCCAAGGGGAAATCGTTTCATTGTTTTTTTAGACCAACACAATCGCAATGAAATATTCAAGCTATAGGTAGCAGCTCTGAAGGTGGAGAAAATTCTGGACAAAAAGTACAAGTACGACAGGAAAAATGATGTGATCTGCAGTGATCATTTTACAGTTTACAGCAGGGAAACGTAGGTACGCAATAGCGGTCGAATCCATGCGATACGTCACAAAACGGGCCGTGCGCAACTACAATGGTGACGTTCTGAAAATTCTCAGAGCAGCGAAAGACAAAGGATTCTGAAAAAAAGTTACGTCCTCCCTTTCGTCTAATGTAGTATGTTTTTATATATTTCAGATAATGTTCTGAATGACCTACAAACTCAAATTAACATGTAGTTTGAGGTTTAATCCCCTTTAATATTTCATGCCCATGAAAAATTTAGTGACTTACCAACAAAGTGCTATTACGGGTAATTTGACTTGTTTATTTGAGAGAGCAGCAGAATTCACTATGTTTCACAATGTCTTCAACGGTAATGTCCTGTTTTGTCTTGTCCTCTTTTATCTTATTATGTCAGTTTCCTGTCCTTTGTATCCCGTCTTCTCATTTTGTTCTTTCGTATATTTGGATTATTGAGACACTTTTAATTGGTTTTATATAAAAATATGTTATTATATTATACATGTATCTATTTTACTGTGATTATTAAGACACTTTAAAATGATTTATGACAATAATATTCATATTATATTTATTATTGGGAACCTACAAATAACAAGCTATGCTTTCAAATAGGTTCCTGTTTCATTTCATAATTTTGAAATTACTTTGTCAACTATGTTCTTTATTGTGCAAACCATTAATATGGAATGGAATAAATTTGAATCAATAAATCAATCAAAATGTCGCTGTTTTACACAGACATCAGTGCACTTGGCCCTATCAAGGAGCTACTACCTATTCTTTTATCTAGTTACATGCCCAACCTGCTGTAGCTGTTTTGCTATTAGGCCTTTTAAGAAATATGTTGTATTGCCCTTTAGGTGCCAAAACATGGGTCGGTCGGTCAGAAATTTTTTTTTTTTTTTTTTTTAATCCCTCTTTGGGCTGATATTTTTCAGTTTTGAATGCTTTAATGAATTTTTTTTTCTCTTAAAAACAATAACAAAAAAATAAACTTTTTTTAAAAGCCGACCATAGATTTCAAGATTTTTTGGTCAGTCTCAAAGGGCAATACAAAATATTTTTTTTTAGGCCTTACAGTAATGTCTTGCATATGTCACTGTTTCCACAGACATCAGTGTACTTGGCCCCATCAAGGAGCTACTACCTGACTATGAGTGGCATGAGATCAAGTGTGTCATCGCTATCCTCAAAGTGCAGTATGGGATGCCTGTCAAAGTCTCGTCCGCCACATCATCACCATCATCGTCGCAAGTAAGGATTTCCTTTATTCCCCCAATTTTGTCCCACAGAACAGGAAAAAGACTACATCGTACTGTATAATCCAAACGCGACCCCATTTTTTAAGTTACAAAATTATTAGATACAACTATCCTTCAGTGTTTGACTAATGACATTGTAATTAATAATAATGATAATATATAAGTTTCGTAAAGCGGCAAATCCTCTCGAAATTAAATGCTCAAGTCGCACTTGTGCAACAAAAAAATAAAATAACATAAAAGCATCTGCATTTTAAGCAATTGCACAGGAGTAAGATTAAACATATACGAAAATGAAAGAAAACAATTAATCATATGCTGAATCAAACAGATACAATTGCAGCTGTCTTAAGGTTTTCCATTTCCAAGTGATCTGAAGGCTTTCCATTTGGGGGACAGTCACAAGGCTGTCCTGAATTTTCAGTCGATTTGGCCTTTTTCCCTTAAAGTCTACCAATTACCTGAAAAAAATTATTTGTGTATAGGTAGAATGTATAAAATCAACTTGACCTGGATTCTATAGGTAAAGGGTTAAGGGTTATGAACAAAAATTAGGGAAAACATCAAACTTTGCGTATAGGGTGCACATGGAACCCAAGTGAGACTTGGGAAGTTCGTCTGTATGATCTAATAATTATAGCATTTCCTCTTATGATAAGGAGATGAAGTTCTGAAATGATTAATATCTTCATCCTAGAAATATTTAAAAGTGAAAGGATTATTCATAGATTGAAAAATAATTCTTTGGGATCATGCCGACTTTTAAGATCCAAATATGTAGCACATTGTTTTAACAGTTGTAAAAAGCAAGTTGTTATGTGTTGGCGTACATGCAGTTTTTTACGTTAAATTGTAATGTTCATTTTTTTTCTTCTTCTGATATGAAGGGTTCCAATCTATCCAATGCGTCTCCATCGACCAGATATGGCCAGTTCCAATCACAGAATTCTTCCCAAACATCACGTATGCTGAGATCCTCCCCTTCAAAGCCCTCCCCATCGTCCACCCCGTCGTCGTCGAAACCCAGCCCTGTCGTCAAACAGCACAGCATTCCCGCCTACATGACTCAGCCCCAGAGAGAGGTCTTGAAGCGCAGTCAGACATTACCAGACATGCCCACAAAGTCACCTTCTAAAGGGAACACCCCTCCTGTCCAGTCCAAACCGGATCAATCCATGTCAAAGCGGAAGCTACCAAGCTGGTTCGGTGGGTCTGCTGGCAAGAAAGGGAAGGGTGAGGCCGGGAGTCAAGATGTGTCCACGAAACGGAAGCTGAAGGGAAATGCATTGTTCAGGAAGTAGCATACAGTTGGTGCGTTCATGAGGTAACACCCCTCCTGTCCAGTCCAAACCAGATCACTCCAGTTTAAAGCGGAAGCTACCAAGCTGGTTCGGTGGGTCTGCTGGCAAGAAAGGGAAGGGTGAAGCAGGGAGTCAAGATGTGTCCACGAAAAGGAAGCTGAAAGGAAATGCATTGTTCAGGAAGTAGTGTGTAGTTGGTACCTTCTAAAGGGAACACCCCTCCTGTCCAGTCCAAACCGGATCACTGCAGTTCAAAGCGTAAGCTTCCAAGCTGGTTCAGTGGGTCTGCGGTCAAGAAAGGAAAAAATTAAGCTGGAATTCAAGAAGTTGTATGACACAAAAACTGAAAAGTAACTGGTTTTAAATTATGGCGTAATGACTTCCAGATTTAAACTATGCAATCATGAGACTAGACAAGGCAGGATAATAATTATATAGCGTTATCGTAGTAGAGTGGTGATGCTACGGCTGTGGATTAGAGCCCCATTGCAGCACCTATGTCCTTTGGCCACTCCCATCCAGGTGTTAAATTGGTACCTGGTAGAAAGGAATTCTTTGATCGCTGCAAGCATCGAAATTGGTAACTTAGCAATAGCTGGGGTAATATTTGAGCATGTTGCATGGTAGATATGAGCACTATCAAAGTATCCAATATATACTATTAGTATTAAATTTTGTATGATTGTTAAAGATATATTTTTCAAATATTGTACAGAGGATATGAAAGATTTACAAAGTGATTAACAAATTTCATACCTTTACCCATTTATGTCATGCGTCCATGAAGAGTTCATGATTTGTTTAATTCCTCATGTGAAGGTATTGATTATTTTGATTTTTTTTTTTCTACTTTAAAAGTAACATTCTCTTGATTTACTTGAAGGCTTTTCATTCCGTTGAAACATTGGATAATTATTGAGGGATGGGGTTAGGACATTGTTTCAATTCATGGACTCGCTGAAAAGGCTTCACAATATCCATCCTTTTATTTCTCAATTCATCTTTTGGAATTCATATTTGTTGATGGTGCTTTTTAGGGCAAGAAACGTCATGTTTAAAGGGCATTGTCATAAGAAATATAACCAAATTTATTCCCTGCCAACCTCGTCATTGTTATTAGAATATTGATCATCATCCGTGTCTGTGATAGTTAATTTCTTATATCAATGTTGATATTTATGTATTGCTATGCATTCTGTTTGTTTATACACCTTGTGTTGATATAGGTGCCATCAATTTCAGAGGAGTTTGACTTCATGCTTGTGCTATATATAAAGAAAACTTAGTTAATTTATTTTGTTACAACATTTTTCTTATTTTATGAAAATGTTCAAAAATATGATTGTATTCATGACAGATTTTGGGCTAATTATCTGCCAAGTTTGATACTGTAGCGGCTCTTACATTCGCCCTACTTTTACCGTACACTCATATTTCTACATTGGTGACCCCTCGTTTACTTGGAAGCTTGGTTGTAGGATTTTATTATTCCCTGACTGTTTGGACTTAGCAATGTTTTATAAAATGTCTTCATTCTGGATTATGTATCGACTGTTTTTTATGCTCTTGCATTTATACACGTTTATTCGATGCATACCATGTCAATACTCACTGTTCAATTTTTGGCAACTAAACAGCCGTTCGCATACCATGCTTGTTGTAGTAACATTCTTTCAACATGCCATGCTTGTACATTTCTTAGGCTGCTGTAAATTACTGCATACACTATAGAATACAATACATGCACTTTTACATTTTTATAAGCCATTGATTCTTGTGACATTTTGTACTTTGCTCATTTATCTTTATCGCCTTTCATCTGTGTATTGCATACACAGCTTCAATTCTGGCAGGGGAGTAATGTAGCAGCTCTTACATTCGCCCTACTTTTACCGTACACTCATATCTCTACAATACCAATATCAACCTACAGGACATTATGAGCAACAATTATCAATCCTACTAAAGAAGTAATCCAGGGGTCAGGGTGACACAAAGACGTAACTCCAGTTTGGCCATTTTGAGAAAAAGTGGTTTATGTGTCACTGAGCACTTGGCCCTTCAGGAGTTAAGTCTATTTTTCACTAGCCATTGACTTCAATGGGGTGTGGGATGGAGTTAAGTCTTTGTGTTTCCTGGAAAGCCCACATTTTTCTGAACATTTTGATATCAAATACTCATTTTGACAAAATATGGAGTTACGTCTTTGTGTCACTGAACCCTCGTCAAATACTTTGTTGATAGGATCTTTATAATAAAACGATCTCTTTTATTGATATAGCTCTAAGGAAACATATAGTTGTTTTCAATTAAACATACGTTTCAAAATATGTGTTCATATCATAGGCTTTTAGATAAAACAATAACAAGATAATACTTTGATGAAATGATTTGTAAGGAAATTTTGAAACCCCAATGCAACACCTTAAGAAATGTGTGAAATCGCTTTGACCTCAACATTAGCCGAACAATTTTGTAAGCAATACAAGAAGTAATTTCTGACTATTTGTATCTTATCCCTGTAACATAAAGGCTACTCCTGTTAATGCTCTATCTACTTGATCTATGAACTTTTTCTTTAAAAATTTGATGTATTATAACCCGTATTTAACCTTAGAGAAGTTTACTTTATGATTTGCATTGTCAGAATAAAAAATTCTGTAATTGTTGGGCTTACATCATTAACAAAATTGAGGATGTCCAAAAAATTAAGAATTGAAAATCTTTCTCTTTTCTCTATTACATTTGTTTTCTTATCGGTTCCTCCCGCAAATACTTTGATTAGATCATGAGTTATTTGACTATTATGAAGGAGTCAACCCCTGTATATAAGACCACTGCTCTTTTTTCATTATTTAGTCTTTATATACAGGTTTGACTATAAAGAATGGTTTGTGTTGAGTTATCATTATTACTTTGAGTGTACAACACAATGAAATTAATTCAGGTATGTTCCTATAATTTTTGTAAACGATTGTTTATATGTCAGATTATCATGAATGATGTAAAATTATGATTGGATATATAAACTTGAGAAAGCTCAAATATAGAAGAAGTTTTCAGTCACTTTGTTATTGATTTGCTACCATGTATTTCTGTTTCCCAACATATTTCTCTCCCTGATCCTCTCATTACCCTTCTCTCTCTCTTTCTCTCTCTCTCTCTCTCTCTCTCTCTCTCTCTCTCTCTCTCTCCATCTCTCTTTATAAATGTAATAAATAAAATATAAATATAAATGTATATATATATATATATTTACAGGAAATAATGATCCTCCGTTTAAGAATGAATTGTTTACGAAAAATAGGGCTTTGTCAAATATATAGACATATAATATATCCATCCAAACCTCTCCCATTTTCTCTAATAAAATTGACTTTCAAGGTATGGGCCTCTTTTTCGGGGGAGGGGGGGTGTTCACTTGTTTTCCAAACAGAAAATAAAGTAAATTGAAAATTTCTCATGGATACAATAAACAATATTTTTCATCTACATTGTACTTTCTAATAAGGGAAGAATGAGGAGTAGATCTTTTGTTTGTAAAAAATTAACAAGATTGATAATTCCGTAGCCTCATTACCCAACGATTTACATGTATATTTTAATAAAGCAGACCGAGCATTTCTGCTTCGTGTTTTCCATATTATTTCCAAGAACCAGCTGGAAGCCACATAACGTTTGCATTATCCAAACAGCTGGAGATTATTTGCCACCGTTAACAAGTGCATCATTGTAAATTGCATTGAGGAATATATATCAAAATATCATGTGTCGGAGAGCGAGTGAACGTCTATCCCTGGTCGTCTGCAAAATAATATGTAGCAGTTAGCACTCTCAACCATGGCTTTGTTCACACGTTGGATTCTAATTTGTTTTTATTTGGGTAGCTGAATCAGAGATGTTAGCTGTGTGTAGGATGCGTCCATACCAAGTGTTAGCCGGGGAAAATGGTATAAGTATCTCACTGTATAGATATGAAAATGAGATGATTTTTGGCAATGTCTGAAAGATTTTACTGTCCATAAGCCGTGAGATCTCTTGCCTTATCTGATGGTAGATTTAGGGGCAAAATCGGCCAGTGCCCCCCCCCCCTTGTTTACATCCTTTGCGGTATTAAAGTAGCCTAAACAAACTGGGGATGTTGTTTCGCCTTTTATTTTTAGACCCAAAAGATCCAAATTCCATAAATCAACCTTTATTTTCTGCTTGTTTTTCTTTTGTTTACTTGCGTTTGCTTGCTTGATTCCACACCTTTTGATTGAATCTCGGATCCACCCTTCCGTATGGACAGCTCACTTTTCCATACGGTGTGTGTCACGGAAAGTTGACATGACTCCAGTCGAGCATAACTTAAACCACACGCTATTCCAACGTGAGAACACAGCCTGGGTCTGCTTTGCAAGCAAGCAAACGCACGGACCCTGCATACCTCGAATTCATGACATTCATTTATGGTCAAAACCCCCGGTAGATGTGGGAGACCTAGATAGAGATACCCGCTCCACGGTTCGTTTCAATTCAAACGATTGATCGCCGAGTTGAAAAAGGTGACTGCCGATCGTATCGCTTTGTGATGCTTGAAGAGAAAGTATCGGCCTTGTCGAGAGATGATGTTTTTTTCTTCAAACTCTCGCAAGGTTCCTCAAAAAAATCAAGAAAAAAACAGTTTCAACGTCTAATTTGCATCACCTTTTAATATATACGAACATTACAATAACACATTACATAATCTGAACATGATTTACAGAGGGCAAAACAATACAATATTGAATTTGTCCTCGAGTTGGGGGGGGGGGGGGTAAGTCCTAAGTTTTCGTGATCGCGTTTCTTATTTCTATGACGTATATTCTGTGTTGCAAATACTAATCAACACATCAAAACGTGACAAAATTTCAAAAGGTTTTGCATTTTTAGGGCAACGCAGTATATCCTGGCGGAAATTCGAACCTGATCGGTTTTAAATTTTGCAGAGCAATTAACAAAAAGAGCTGAAACGGAGCACTTTTCAAATGACTCCATATTTTGGCGGGAAAACTTTATTACTCTGACTGGCACTACTTCCCTTTTATTCGAGGGTTGCAGTATATATTTGTTTATACAGAAGACGTAATAGTGATTCAGAAATCGTGACTTCTTGAAAAGTATCATCTCTGCACAAATTATAATATCCCCCGGCATTTTTCAAATAGGTATAAACTGTTTCGTCCTTTGTAATACTTATCTTATCATTACCTTGTTTATAAATCGTGTTTTTTTTCTCTCAATATGATGACCTACCTGGCCTCCCCCTCTTTGACAAATGTTTTATTTTCTTTCTCTTGGAGGGTTTCTTCTTATTTTCCTCTACAAATTGTGTTCTTTGTTATGTATTCACACATTCTTTCGAGATTGATTCGGGTCTTTCCAAGATGAAGTATTGAATGCATCGAGAATGCTTAAATGTCCTTGGGTTCTTTGCAAATTAGATGTATTCGTGTTATTTATTTGATCTCGCCTGTTATAAATGAAATTCTTCTCTACACAACTATTATGTTACATCATTATCTCGAAGGTGAAATAAGCCTTGTATTTTCATCTTGTAACATAGCTGCAATCTTATTCATAAGGAGGATTAAAGTGACTCCTTTCCCCAACAAATGTAAAGAAAAAGACGAAGAAGGAGGAGGATGAGAAGAGCAACAACAAAGACCTAGAAAAAGGTTTTTTGTAAGAATCGAATTAGAAATTAGGAGGAAAGGAGAGCAAGAAGAACAAAGGAAGAAAAAAAAGAAGTTCGAAAGAAATGAAGAAGAAGAAGGGAGAGGAGAAGAAAGGAAAAAAGAAGGAAGAGAAAAAGAAAATAAGAAATAGACTAAGAAAAATAAGAAAAAAGGGAAAAAGAAAGAAGAGAAAAAGAAAAGAAGAAATAGTCTAAGAAGGAGAAGAATAAGAAAGAAAGAAGATGAAATCAAAGCAGGAGTATAGAGGAACGAGGAGGACTCGGAAGAAATACTGGCATTGGTATCGTTGGCTCTCGGATACCAACCTACCGATATTGGCCCCGCCTTTTTCATCCAGTCACCAGTATCGATCAAACTTTATACCATCCATCACACACACACACACGCACATCCATACCCCACACACCATCCCATAGAGTAATACACACAAACATTATCCAGTGTTTTAATATCTTGTCTAGCTAGTGCTAACCAACGCCACGGCTTACGGTATATACGCCGTCTCGCGCTGTGTATGCTTGTTCACCGGTTACCCTTTGGCCCGGCGCAGCTGCAGTTTGAGGGGGAAGTCTTTCACAAGTTAGGAAAAACTTAGCCTTAAAAAAAATCATGACGGAAATGCTAGATGTTACCCTCCACGGGCCCGCACCGTGGGGTTTTCGGCTAGCTGGCGGCAAGGACTTTAACACTCCAATCCATATATCAAAGGTAAGACTATTCCTTCAAACTCTTCGATTATATTTTAGATTTTAAACCTTCAAATGTTCATGTATACCATCTCATGAAGACAACGGGAGATTTGTACTCAGACATTATATCGAGGTGCGGTACTTCACGGGGGTGTCTGCACTATATTTTTGTTGTACCGTCGAGGTATATTCCATTGCGTGTGTGATGCCTTTCTAATATTTTCTCAACGACGCTGATACCACTAGGTGCGGCACCCCCGGAAAGGATGCGATCCAATATGGCCGCCATGATAATTCCATAGAAATTTCTATGACATTATTTTTGAAGCTGCTATTGGCTCAAAATGCCATTTCATTCAAAAGAATGAATATTATCTCAGGTAGATGAAGAAAGAGCATTATATCCATAACGTTATTCTTTATTTATTAGCCTCTATACTTTGGTCCTTTATCTCAGCTTTATATTGTACTCGCAGAATTTGTCTGAACAAAAGATATTGAACGAATTATTGCCTCTACATTTAACAATTATTCACATCTATCTAATTCTCGGGAATATTATTACTTTCATCTATTTCCGTAAATAGGCCTTCTTATAATATAATGATTACTTTACATGAACATGATGAAAAGGAATCTAAAATTATAATTACCTGGTACTGGATTTACTCAAATGTAGTTTCTCTATTCTTTTCCTAAAATCTTCGTCCTAAAATATTGTATTATAGATAAAATCTTTTAATTACATTGACCTCTCTATATTTTCATTAAAATAATAATATAATTCCCAGTGACCACAATAATTTCATGAAATGCAAACTTTTTATTTCCATGCACGATTGTGGACGGGTGGTATGCACGTTGTGGTCTACGTGAACACGTAAGGGTGTAATTGAATATGTTGGTTATATTTACTAGAGACTGCATGCATGTGTCCGGTGTTGGATAGCTTCCCTGTATTATTTTCCTATACTCTGGCTCCGTTGCATTAAACTTACCATTGATGGTAACTTTGCCATCAATGGAAACTTCCATGGTAACATGGCTCAACAGCCAATCAAAATCAAGGTTTCCATGGTAGTTACTATTGATGGAAAAGTTACCATCAATGGTAAGGGGCCCTGGACAAAAAATGACAATATTGTTCATTTCAATTTAGAGTATATCGTTCATTCTTTTTATCATCTTCTTCGTTTTCCTCTTTCTATTTAATTCAATTAATATTTATTTCATTTCCAGTAGAAAGATAAACAAAGGTAGGGGCCTACATAAACAAAGTATGACAAAAATTATGTACATATTCATTTTTCCTGGTAACTTTCTTCCTCTCGTTCTCTCATTTTATTTCTCTTTCTATTTAGCTTTCTTTACATTCGAAATTCCAATCTTCCCAACTAACTCCCATTCCACCTTTCTTTCTCCTCCCCCATTTTACTTTTATTTTACTCTTGTTTTACCTTTCATTTGCACTCTTTCTCCATTCCATCTTTCTCACGATATCTGTACACTAAAAAGAGTTAAATATGGAATTTTTGCAACAAATAAGGATGATGACAACCTCATTTTATTCAATGATTTGAATATCAGTTTTACACCTTGACCATGCGTTGATTTAATTTTTATGATTTATTTTATCGTGAATTTTATAATTTATATATTTGCTTACTTTATCATGTTCATCATCTAACTGTCATAACATGATCATTGTTTTCTATGTGGCCAACCGTTAGTTGGTTAGTTGGTTGGCCTTTTCCTTTACGTTAAATGCCAGTCCAATGTATTTTCTGTTCCATATTTTACCATTGAATGAAGCACATATTAGACATTATGTTCTTATTATTAATATTAATCTAATGTGATCATCAGGGATAGTACAATTTTCAATGCGGTCGGTAACAGGCGCGCCGGAAGCAGTTTGGGATTGGGGTGGCAAACATTCCAGGGGGCTCACCTTCCAGGGGCAGTGACGTAATGAGCAAAAAAGTTTGGAAGGAGGGGGGGGGGCAGAAGAAAAATCTGCATCACCACCACTCTTACACGTTACATGCAGGCCTCGCGGAACGCTTTTCAAAGTGGGGGTATTAACGATCAGGTAGAGCGTAAATTGGCTTGGGGTCCAGGACCTGAGCCTCGGCAGGGGGTCAAGGGGCTGAGCCCCCGGAGCTCACGGATTTTAGGCATTAAATTACGGTCAGATAAGCATATTTAGATACCTTATTATTTTGTGACGCTGGCAGGTCACTAATTGGCGGAGAGTCCAGGGAGCAGAGCCCCCGGAAACTTAGGGTTTTTAGGTATTTAATTACGGTTAGATGAGCATCCAGGGGCCCTATTTAAGGTCATTGATGTGGTCCAGGGGGCAGAGCCCCCGTAAGCTCAGATGTTTTAATATTTAACTACGGTCAGAGGAGCATCCAGGGGCCGCTTAGAGCCCTTTGTGGGGTCCAGGGGGCAGAGCCCCCGGAAGCTCAGGGGTTTTAGGTATTTAATTACGGTCAGATGAGCATCCAGGGGCCGCCTTAGGGCCCTTGGTGGGGTCCAGGGGGCAGAGCCCCCGGAAGCTTGGGGGTTTTAGGTATTTAACTACGGTCAGATGAGCATCCAGGGGACCGCCTTAGGGCCCTTGGTGGGGTCCAGGGGGCAGAGCCCCCGGAAGCTCGTTTTTTTTTAAGGTATTACTGTCAAATGAGCATCCAGGGGACCGCCTTAGGGCCCTTGGTGGAGTCCGTATGCTCTGAGGTTTAAGTTTTAATTACGGTCAGATGAGCATATTTTGATACCTCATTTGTGACGTTGGCAGGTAACTTAATATTTCTCTCTCTCTTTCTTTCCTTTTCTCTGTAACATACTTTTTCAAAAAGTGAGGGGGCTCGAGCCCCCGAGCCCAGCGGATTTGCAGACCATGACATAAAGGTTTCTAAATAAGCATATTTTTCGCCCGACTGTAAATTTGGGAATTTCTAATTTTCCAACAAACGCATAAAAAGGTATGACTTACAAAAATACTGGAAATTCATGTCATTTCAGCAACATTTGTAAATCACTGGTATCGAATAAAAAAATACCCCCCCCCCCCCATCAGTACGCCATCGTTCAGGAGCTCATGTCTTCTCACCCCTATATAACAAAAAACAGACACGCTTTTACATTCTCTCACAATACATGTATGTCCACGATATGCGCGTATCGCTATTATAAAAACCTCCAGTGATAAATATAGGTGGCATGCGCAATTTTTAGGAAATTTAATTCCTATTAACTTTCCTTTTCTTTGAATGGAATTTATATGTGATTTAATTCTGGTTTTTATTATTGTTATGTACTTTTGGGTAAAAATACAACCATCTTTACTCCTTTACTGCCTTTTTTTTTTTTTTTTTTTTGGAGGGGGGGGGGGGCGTTTTGGGGGGGCAAAAATGCGTTTTGCCCCCCCACTTTTTTGACTGGGGGGGCAGCTGCCCCCCCTGCCACCCCACTTCCGGCGCCTATGGTCGGTAACATACGAGGCAAAACACCTTTAACTTGCCAATAATAAATCCTTGTTTAAGGTTGGCTTCCCTTTAAAAGGGATGAGTATGAAAGAAATGTCAGAGCCTATATGTCTTAAGAATTAAGTACACTTGTTATGGGCCGTTAACGTAAGAGCAGAGTAAATAGAAGAGCTGATTGAGGTATTTGGGGATAAGCTTGTAAATCACGCTCTGATCAAACAGAAAACACAAACATTGGTTCCGTGTTTGGTATAGACAGAGCTATATCTCGTGTTAGTAGCATCATCTTTTTATTGTCATTCTTTTTTTCCATTCTCTGTTCATTCTCTGAGGTTTTATAATTATCTCTTTGTTGAAAGGGTTTATGTTAATACCGTCATTCATTTTCGTACGTGTGACCACTCTCCTAATTTGTATTACTTGTTCCTGTAGTATGCATACTACACTAATCGCTAATTATGATCATTTCTCTAGCAGAGCCTTCTTGAAGTTCTCAAGATCACGAACACTTTAAATGTTACAAGTACTAACTTTTACATGACATAATATTTTCAAAATAAATATTCTATCAAATCATTGTTCATTATAACAAAAATCTATGCATTAATCATGAATCATGTAAAATGATAATGATAAATAATATTTTGTAAACGTTGGTCAAAATATCTATATCGCATAGTTTAAAACGTAGGCCTAATCAAGATCTACCTTTGTTGGCTAACCCAGACAGCAGCAATCTTTGGGCTAGTTAGTATATTTTACTTTCGTTCAGTAAGTAAATTTGTTTTTAAATGTTTCTATACTTTCGCTTACAGTGAGGATACAATAAATATTATACGGGGTGTCTCAAGAAAATGCAACAATAGTTTTATTGGTAATGTCTTAAAAAGAAACTTGATGGTCCTCAATGAAATTTCTTAAGTTATATTTTTGTAGTATCCCTAAATTTATTGTGAATTTCAAGAGGATTTATTATAAAACAACACAATTATGTTTGTTTATGTCAGAATGTAGGATTTTTTCAAATGCTACAAAAAATTGAATAGCATCAGTGCCCAAAAATGTTATACCTGTCATCTGAACATTTTGTAGAAATCTCTCACATTTACTTAATTTCTTGTTACACAAGGGGTATTACGAACTCATATTAATGTAATTTACACCAATGTTAAGATAATTCAATGTCTTACTACCTTGGTATCCATCAGTATACAATCTGATGGGCATAGGCTATCAAGTAATATTAAGAAATCACTACGTTTCACTTTCTATATATATATATATATTTGGCTATTTAGCACCCTTTGGCTTTGAGCAATAATGTGTTTGGTGTATATACTTGAATAGTATAATAGGACAAAATAGTCGTAGTAATAAAGCTGACTATTTAAGGCAGCTCTTCGGTTGCTTTCTTCGGCTCTCTGCATGGTCGCTTGTTTCATTGCCACATGTGCAATTTTCCACAAGGCAATAGGCAGCCGCACTTTGGGAAACACAATGGCTTTGCAAAATTGCCCATTTCCAGTCTAGATTACATTCATGACAACCCTTTTAACATTGGTATAGATTAATCTTACCGCCACGAGAAAAGGTTAAATGATTTTGAAGCCTGTGTTATATCCATCTCGTGATGAATACACTGTGTCACAGAGATTTTTTGTGTGGCATATAAAAGATTAATGTGGAACAATAATATTATGCCGAATATAAGGAGAAATAATTATAGTATACTCATTCGTAAACAGAAAACACCTTTCCTCAAACTTGACCGGATAAGATCACCGTTGCAATATTATGGACGATACATACTGTATATAATTCAATTAGATACAGACCCTAGTGTTACGTTTAAGTCTAAAGCGAAAGAGGTTTGTTATTTATGGTTAGAATACAATATTTTTGAGGAGGAGAGGGGGGAGGGGAGAAAAGAATAAAAGTTAGGGGTTCATAAGAACCGCTATTTTTAAGGACCGCTATTCATAACGACTCCCTATACCTGCAGGACCGCTATTCATAATGGGAGAAGAGAGTCACTATTCATTAGATATTTAGGGGTTTTCTCACTGGGTGTTATGTAATCAATCACAAACAAATTATGCAATTTTAAAAATGATAATATTTGGGTATACTTGGGTGTAGAGACGAAACAAGGCCAATTTTTTAAAGTACCATGCATAGTTCAACGTATTCCCAATGATTTATTTCAGTGTATGATATAAACATTACATACCCGTCTAATGCAAACCACACATTGATATTCAGGACAGTTCGTCGGCTGAAACATTATCCTATCTTCCGATCATCTTCCACAAGCCCTTCATTTATCATGCACACCAAGAAGTTACTGAGATGTGTTTATTCACCAGTCAAGCGGCAAGGGGCATTGGTATCAGCTATGTTGTATATATTTTGTTTACATGACTCGCATTCCAGAGGACTAGAGGTACTCAGAGGACTTTCAGAGTATATTTTGGACAGATTTCTGTGTATTCTTTGTTTGATTAACACACTCAAATTCAAAGATTTTTTTTTATCACAGGATGTAATTATTCACTATAAGTCTTTTTCATTTTTTAAATATGACTTGGTAAGGATTAAAAACATTAAAGACGATGAATCATCATCATCATCACAAACTTTAAAGCTGCCATGACTGTGACCAAATAAAAAGACTAGTATGCCTCAATGTGTAAAATTCTGCCTATTACCATTAATTCTATTTCATCTTCTGCGCTTTTCCTGTTTGCGTGTGATATTTTAGAAAAATGCGAAAATCAATCGTTCAACATCTACCTTAGATGTGGTGGGTTTTTCTATTTTTTTTTCTTCGGTTTTGCGGATTCGGGAGGCCAAGGGGTGTCATTGTCGCGGTACTAAAAAAAAACATCTGTAGGATATATATCCAAACCACTCAGGAAAATGTTTTCTAGAGTTAGAATGATATCAAAAAAGTTCAATTCGTGTGGTATCGTTATTCATTAAAGATCAAATTCGTTCGATATAGACCTTTTTTTAAAGCTTTACGAGCTTCTATTATAAGTGTGGAGAAATTCGCAATGAACCTTTGGACTGGGAGATGTAACGGCGGTATAGGGATTTACAGCAACTTTGTGACATCGCATTTTTTTTTAGCACGGTCTTCATATTCTTTTTAATGCAAATTACATTTTCAATCTAATTTTCGCAATTTTGTGTTTGTTTTGTATCTGTTTTTTGGTTTTTTGCAGACGACACCAAATGGCAAGGCGGCATACGCGGGTCTTCAGCTCAAAGATGTGGTGTGCGCCATCAACGGTAGAATCACCTCGAGTATGTCCCACTATGAGGCCCAGGATTCCATCAAAGATATCGGCGGGGATCTCAAACTTAGAATCAGAAGGTAACGGGTGTTACGTAAGAGAGCAGTAATGTAGCTACTTGGGATACGGGGGCAATTGCCACCCCCATCAAATGGTGACAAAACAGAAAGGAAAACAAAGAGAGAAAATAATATTACGACACGACCCCCTCCCCTCCCCCCCCCCTCCCAATGATGATGGGACCAATAATTACATTGATATTATGCTTTGCAATGTAGATGGTTCAGCGTTGTAAGATAAAATGTAATGATCCAATTCGTGAGCAAAAAAAAAAGAGATTATGATATGAATGATTTTATTTTAAATTCTTCTCTTTCTCTCTCTCTCTCTCTTCCGTTTCTTCTATTTCTACTCCCCTCTCTCCCTCCCCTTTTCTCTCTCTCTACTCTACCCCTGCCTCTCTCCTTCCCCCCTTTTCCTCTCTCTCTCTCTCTCTCTCTTTCTCCCGTTTCTTCTCTTTCTACTCCCCTCTCTCCCTCCCCCTTTTTTCTCTCTCTACTCCCCCCCTGCCTCTCTCCTTCCCCCCTTTTCCTCTCTCTCTCTCTCTCTCTCTCTCTATCACTTCCGATTCTCATTAAACACAATTATCTTTATATCCATCCTGTGTGGCACATAGAATATAATCTTTATAGTACAGGCGTCCTGATCAAATTTCCAAGCTGGATTTTTAAAACGATGTTAGACAATTAAGGGCTTTTCTGTTACCAATGTATCATTTCTATCGCTGTATTTCCACCTCATTTTTATTTCCTCAGTGTTTGATTTTTGTTTTTTCCTGATCGCTCTTTCTTTTCTCCATTTTCAATTTTCAGGACGGGAGGTTGGGTAGACGCACCAGTACAATCAAGGGCAGGAAATTTTCCATCAGCTCCCCCTCCAGTAAGTATGTCCTACAAAAGTCAAATAGATGATCAACCCCCTCCCCCCCCCCCCCCCCTCCCATAAAAAAAAGTATATTAAAGAAAGAAAGACGATTTCTAAATTCTAGCGTAAAGGCTATCAGGATTATTATTCCTATTTTGTTTACATAATCACTCGAAAAAAACTTCATGACGTAATACATTTTAGATTTAAAGCATGACACCTCTCTTCATTATATGTGCTTCATCATATGCCAACACATGAAATCAGTATTATATATATGTACATATTTATACATACCAAATCACAATGACGAGACCGATGCATTAAGACTTACAACAGATTTTCATAATTTTCCATGGTTTTTCATGTCATTAAAAAGTTAATAACTGTCTTGTTATTTGTCCGATTTCCCTTTAACTGTTATTTATCTATCCGTCTGAATTTTATGATTCTACTGAGATCAAGTATTTCCTGGACTGGACTTGGCCTTTAACGATGCCCTGCGAAGAAACAGTCAGTTTATCAGTGCTGTTCCATTGAAATCGTCTAAGAATTATTTTCATGGTATCGCTCAGTGCAGTTGGCGCCTATCCCGTCTTATATCCCAGACCAGTTGCATAAAATCTATATCGTCAGTAGGCGACGCCATCTTGTTATCGTAGACGTACTTTTCTATCAGATTTCAGCTGAGTATTTATTCTGTGCATGGATCAGTCCACAGTAGCATGGGTCTAGCCATTGATGTAATCTAGGTTGGGGAGGTAGGGGCTTTGATATTACCAAACGAATAATAATGCGCCGCATAAAGGGCGTGGAGTTGGTCGATGTTTTGGATAGGGGTGCCGCCACCTTCTTTCTTCGTTGCTTTATTCTCTGCCATCAATTCTTTCTCCGTCCCTCTTTCTCTTTCCTCTTTCCTCTTTTCCCACCATTCATTTGGGATGGGGGAGGGAGCACATTACCACCCATGTCCCCCTGTAGTTACGCCAATGCCTATCATGATACACTTTGTGACGCCTCAATAAAAACAGATGGTAGGGACGTGACGGCTTAGCATATGTATCTGTGATGTCAACCAAACAACATAAACCAATGTAGCTGTGGTCATATACTGAGGTTGTACGACACGTGCTCCGCGGCGACAAATGCTCCTTGGCTAATTCCTTGCGCAAGCAAGCGTTGTACCTTCAACTATGTACCGAACACTCTACCTAACCTAAACCCTAACCTAGATCCAATTGCAACCCTAACCCTAAAGGCTTGTTCATATTTGCTAGAGTCACATGTTCGACAACTATACAACGAACGGCGCCGGTAGAACAGTTTATTATGGGCCTGGACCCCGGGGCCTGGAAACATACTCGCCAAACTAATATTGCCTAATTAAGGCCCTCAGATTTCAGGGTTTGTAGATTGTGAAATTACTGAATTATTACACATTTGGCAATGGGAGTATCGGATTTGTCGACAACCCCCCCCCCCCCCTCCCACACACAAAAACACAGAAACACTCACCACTACTACCACCACCATCTTTACCACCACAGTCGCTCCGAAAAATACGTCTACATCTGCTGCTGTTACTGGTGATATCTTCAAACCTCTACGCTCAAATTATTTATAATAATAATAGTAGGCTTATGATCAGGAGTCGTCTAGTAGACCAACAGCCTACGAGAAAAGACATCGGGAAAAATGACACGAGACTGACAGCCCATTAGAGCGACAAAATGAAGAAATGCATTAGAAAATATAGAAAAGAAGAACATTTAGAAAAGAAGAAATTCTACAAAGAAACAAATATGAAGTGAAGATTAAAAGAATGTCGGTCTTGTGGGCTGTCGGGCTCTTGGGCTGTAGCCGAAAATCATATTATGATCGACAATGATTAAAAACTGTCTTATCTACCTCGTGTTTTAAGTTGGTCTCGTGGAGCCCAAGGTCCTGCCACACCTTGTTCCTACGGCTTCCATTGTTCACAAGCAGTTCAACTCCCCGGTCGGCCTCTACTCGGCAGACAACATCATTATCAGTGATAATCATATCATTTTGTATCGACAATATAAAAACTGACTTATCTCCCTCGTGCTGCAGGTCCGCCGTATGGAGCCCGAGGTGCTTCCACCCCCTGGTCCATCGGCTTCCATCGTTCACAAGCAGTTCAACTCCCCGGTCGGCCTCTACTCGGCAGACAACATCATTATCAGTGATAATCATTTCATTGATCGACAATAATATTTTTTTTAAACGGACTTATCTCCCTCGTGCTGCAGGTCCGCCGTATGGAGCCCGAGGTGCTTCCACCCCCTGGCCCTTCGGCCACCATCGTTCATAAGCAGTTCAACTCCCCGGTCGGCCTCTACTCAGCGGATAACATCGCAGATGCTTTCAAGGGGCAGGTCGAAGGCATGGGCCTTGACGCGGGCGCCACCAAGTACAGTATCGTTTCTTATAAGATGATGACGTGGATCCTAATCAAATGATTGGTTGATAGCGTACACGTGACCAGGCATTGTTTTTGCCTATCACGTTATTTTGATAATGACCGGTCATTAGTAAAATCATGTTATAAAACATCATTTTATAAAAACAAATAAAACATAATCTTATAAAACAAATAAAACACATCATTTTGTTCGGGCATTAGTAAAATATTCTTACTATTGCCCTCACTGATGTGTATTATTTGTATTTATTTACATGCAAAGCCAGGGACCGGGTTTATGTTTTCATTTGATTTGTTTATTCATAGATAGGATTCGTCATCTTTACCGTTAGTGTACGTTGACTGTAAATAAGGTATATGAATGACATGGAGACGCTATTACATTTTTGATGGGTGAACGGTTCGGTAAAATTTGCCGACTGAGGTAAAAAAAAAATAAAAAAAATATGAATGAATAAACAAACCAGAGGAAAACGGCAACTGTAATGTAAAAGACATGGAATTATGGCAATACTTAAGGGTATTACTGCGACTGTGGTCAAAGAGATAGTACTGGTTGTGTGTTGTATCTTCATCAATCCTGTTGCCAAAAATAAGAAAGAATGGGAGACAATTAAAACATTTTTGCTCCAATAATGATGTCTTAAATAATTTTCGGCGTTGAGATGTGTATCGATACATTAATTAAGCCTCAAGTTTAATTATTTTCTTAAAGATGGTATAAGTCATGTACGGAGAACTCATCGCTCATTATTAATTATTCATAAATATTCATTTTTGTCAGAAGTATAATCATTTTAATCAAATTTATGAAGAAACTAAGGAAAGAGAATTAATCTGGTTCAAGTTGATTTGAATTTCGTGAAAGATCTTCACCTGATACTATTTCCATCATTGTTTTATGAATCCCATTTACAGGTTTCCTGCGGCGGCTCCTATGTCTCAACCAATGTCCCCGATGTCCCCTATGTCACCCATGTCACCGGGCTTCGGGGGCCAAGGCTACGGGGGAGGACAACAAGGCTACGGCGGGGGCCAAGGCTTCGGGTCCGGTAGACCGAGCTACGGCAGCAGCTCGACTCCATTCGGTGCCCCTGCCCACGAGCCCATGTACTCCAAGCCAAGGCCCATGGCACAGTCGTATGCGGGCCATGCCCCGAGGGCCCAGACGTACGCCCCACCTAGGCGTCCCCCACCCATCGTCAACCGACCCAAACCCCAGCGTCAGCAACCCCCAACCTCCCAGCAGAGGCCTCAGAAGGCCTTCGCGCCGAACCCCGCCGTCAAATCGAGGTCCTTCCGCATGTTGGAGGAGATGACCCAGGAAGAGGAAGCGAGAGGTATAATATTTATCACATGATTATTATGTTAATCGCGTAATATAATGTTATTGATTAAATGGGAGTTTCGGGCGGGGGGGGGGGGGGACTTGGAAAGAGGGGACGTGAGACTAAAAACTTGAAAATATTTGAGGAAGAAATAAAACCTACATTTGCAAAGCTGTCGAAAAAACTTATAGGCTTTTGAAACAAAAAGTAGGAACATGAAGAGATGGGGATACAATCTAAAGGAAAGGAATGTTTTCATAGAGGAATATCGGCAAATCTTGATCATTACACTTCCATACATCTCGAGAAGACAAAAATAAACGGGAATTCTATCAACATATGCCTTTGATGATCAACTATTAATATAAACTTACAGTCGAAAAGAAATCAAATAAACTACTTTCGAACTTGTTTTATGTGTCAAGTCACATTAAAAACTCTGATTTTACTGCAACTATTTCACAATGAAGTTCGTAACTTTACTGCAAAAATCTCCATAACTACAATATCCATACCTTATGTTTAGAATAAGTGGTTACATTCATAATCTCTTTTTACTTTTGCTTTATCCCATGTGCACTTTGTGTTTACAATCTGCTATTGCCTTGCTTTCATCTTTCACTGTTTCCCTTAGAGAACTACTACGATGATGAATATGACCCCGACATGCTTTAAAAGAATCACAAACATGGTATAATCTTTGCTCGTCTTCGTCGTCCTGACTTTTGTGCATTTGGATCAGTAGTTTTATCCCAATGTCATATAGGCCTACCATTATTCCCTCTTTAAATAGATGGGGCAAATGTTACAAATTCGAGTCCCTTCCAATGTCCTTTTCTTTAATATTTGTACTGTTCCTCTGTTGACTGTTCATTCGTTAATCAGCATAATGCTTTTGATTTAATACTTCATTTTCCCTCTTCTCTAACAAAGATTTGATTTTATATTTTCTGCTTTCCAGTTTCTGACTCTTTTAATTTATGCAAGTTTTAGAGGTTCTGGGTGTCGTTACTGAGTACCCTCTAACAATTTCTCCTTCCCTTGTTATTACTTCCTTTCTCCTTACTTACTTATGTTTCTAATTCTTTTTCCTGACGTGTGCTACGTTGTATTGTTTTTTTTAATCAATGCCCAATCCAAATGTCAAAGAAGACAGTGTCTTGATTCTGTCCATTTCTTTTGGCAAGACATTAATCTACAATTGCAACACTCGACCCAGGTGATGTAAATGGGTACCTGGCAGGAGATAATTCCTGGATATGCTAGAGAGCCATCATAATGATGGCAGCAATGCTAAAGCCAGGGTAATAATATGGAGTGCCAGAATTGTCAAGTCTGACAGACATGAGCGCTATTCAAGAATCCATTATATTTTTATCATTATTATCTTTTTTTTTTCTTTCTGAAGTTTGTTCTGGCGGAGGTCATGAAAATGAAATTCTGAATTGTATTTTTTTTTTTATAAATTATTTTATTAAAGACTGTCTCAGTTAACTAACGGCGTCAAATTATTCTAAAATAAATTCAAGCTTCGTGTAGGAAAAGGAAAATACAATTTCTTAGAATTAAATTCGTTAATCATATTGCAAATATGAATGTTTTTTTAAACAGATATATGGCGCCATACAAATGCTGTGAATATCATCATCATCATCATCAAAATGAGAAGAATTTAGGTTATATTGGCCTATTAGCATTCCCTTTATGCATAGATGTGGGAAATTGTACAATTTCGAGTCCATTTCCAATGTCTTTTTCTTTGATATATGTATTGTTTCTCTGTTGACTTTTCATTTGTTACATTAGTATAGTCTTTTGATTTAATACTTCCCTTTTCCGCTATTCTCTAACAGTTTCAATTTTATATTTTCTGCTTTCCAGTTTCTGACTTTTTTAATTTATATATGTTTGACAGAGAGGAATCAAGAGTAGGGATTTTGAGAAGCTATAAAGTACGATCATTCATAATCACATATAATATTTATTTATGTTATTATGAAAAAAAAGTGAGACTGTTACAAAATTAAAATGTATGTGAATTTGATACGATTCCTCTAAAAAACGTTTGGTCCATATCCTATGTAGGCTTATTTCTGACGGCTTTTACTTTTCCTTTCTAATTTGTGATCACAAAAGCAAACGAAAAAACAGTATTAAATTCTTTTTTGTATATAGTTTATTTCTGGTAATTTATACACAATAACCTATAGACCATTACCATTTTTACCTTGTGGCGCCACTTTATATATCCACCTCTATCATAATTACGATCACTGTATGGCGTCTCCGCGCAGCGTATGTCACGTGACCTCGGTAATGGACCAATCAGTCTCCTTAATGTTGCGATTGCAGAACATATCACTAACTATTCGAATAAGGCTCGGTCTTTTGTAGCACTGAATATTCTTTTCACCCTTTGAATGATTTTAAAGTTCCTTGGGTATAATTGAAAGGGTTATTTCGCTGACTATATTTTGTTACAAACGGCAGTTAGCAAAAAGGGGGGAAAGCGAAAAGATTCGTACTATGGCGCACAATCGTAACATACGTCGATTACCATAAAATGATGATATTCAAGTGGTTTGCAGCGTATGTTGATGTTACCTTTACGAGCAGACGTGTGTTCAACGAAGTTGAAAAGGCCGTGTAGTATCACGGCTTGTACTTTCTATCTGTCTACAAATTTGATGATTTTGATAATTGCAACGTTGTCAATTATTCTAATATCCTTTTATATTAAAAGAAAATCTCTAACAACATTTAAAAAATAAATATTAATATCTCTATACTGGTCGAAATGTCAAAACGTTGGTGCATTGTGCCTCAACATCTGGCAGTATTTTACCACGATCATCGGCCCATGTCCGGGTTTCATCTCAGTAGACCGACAGTCCACGAGACCGCCCGCCAACCAGACCGACACAGGACCGACGTGTTAAAATGCCAATGAGATCGACAGCCTACTAGACCGACATAACTAAAGGATACATCAGAAAACACTGAAAAGAAGAAAGTTATAGTGTTGTGTCGGTCTTGTGGGCCGTGAGTTTAGTGAACCCTCTAACAAAAGTTGTCAGATGACCCACAAGGCCGACAAATTATTGGACCGTCGGTATTGTGAGCCTAAAACCGATATTGTCGGTCTCGTTGGCTGTGGCCTCCAGATGACTGCCAAAAGACATAGATATCATTATGAAATGCTTATAACAAAATACCTTTGTTGTCTGTTGTTCTTTTTTCGTAGCTCTCGAAGATATTCAACATGCTAACAAACAAGAAGCACCTTCAGCCAACACTTACCGTTCAATTGACAATTACGAACCCGATGACGGCGAGCCAACTGGTAGACAGTCCCGATCTTTCAGAATGTTACAACAGATGACGGCTGAAGAAGAGGCTATGATGGGAGACTTGTAACTCAATCTGTAAACCAAAGTGCATTATTTATTGAATGAATTAAAAAATATTCCCCAAGTTTCTATGTCGGTGTTAAAATCTTGTTTTGCCCAGGGTTTAGGGGATAAAATTTGTGATATAGGCCTTCCCTCTATCTGAAAGGGTGTAACTCCGAAACGTTTAAAGATAAGCTCCTTTTCGCTGGGTTGGTTCAAATTTTGCTGAGGGTTGGTTAGCTCAGTCGAAAAGGTTCTCTCTTTTCGCTGGTCCCTGTAGTGCGAATCTTGCATTTTAGGTGAATGACTTTCGTAAGGGTGTCTCTTTACGGGACCGCAGTAAACCGAATGACCAGGTGACTGAAATTAAATTTGAAAAAGTACTAATATTGTGAAAATTATATTTAATTACAAGCCAAGGTAAATATCTAAGTGTAGGTAAATTGAGTTGGATTGAATAGATATTTAGCTGTGACAGGGAAAAGGTGCAGCACGTTCTAATGTGAATGTTTAATAATTTTTGGCAAATAAATGAAATATTAACATTGTCCAAGTTGTTATATTGCTTGAATCGCTTGAAAACCACGACTTCAAAACAAAGCGTTCTTTCTCTATCTCTCTCTTTTTTTACATATGGAAAAGTTGATTTATTTCGATCACAGACACACAAGAATGGTTGTATTAAGCTTTTATGTATAGAATAGAAAAAATGAAAACAGTTAGACATAGCCTGTTGCTATAATCTGATTTTCTAGCTGTGCAATAGAGGACTCGTTTTTATCGTGCGATCGAGAATATGCGATTTTTTTTGTGTTGGTGAACATTATTAGCTATTTGATTTTAATAGTGGAAAATATAATTATATTATGTTTCGTGATTTAGCTATAGTTAAGCAGACTGGGGTATAAAACCTCCAAAAATAGATACTTTTCGTGCCTTAAATACAATTTTTCTGTAAAAGAGAGTTATTCCTTGTTTGTTTTATGATGATTTAATATGGAATACTTTTTTAAAAAAATCGCGTATGAGTATTTTTCGAACTCTTTACCAAAGTGCATTTTATCGGGATTTTTAACTCCACACGAAATTGAAATATACAACTCTTTTAAAATACCCAAAATTTGTTTTGTTATAAAGTGTATATATTTCATGGCTTGTTTTTCCTGCGATTGCAGGGGCCTCACAATTTTGATTTTTAAATGAAAAAAAAGAAAAGAATTTTAACACCTCTATTTATTTTACTGGTTTGCTGTTTTGTGATTCGTTTGACAGGCGCTTGATTTCATTTGTCGCTGATATTTCTAATCTTCTTGAAATATTTGTGACCTTTTCCACTTAATCATCGCCTCCAATCTTTCATTTCGATTTCATGCTAACGGTACCGTGTACGGAGTGTTATAGCCCAAAGTTACCCTAACTATGCAATATTTTATAGAATTTGTCTTCTTTTTTTTTCTCTCTTAATGTAGAGGAGTGGACTCCACTCTTTTGCGAGTCAAGTCAGGGATCACTTATTTTGTAGTGGAATCCACTCCACGTCGATTGTGAAAACCACTCCAAAGTAGAGGTTCGAATTTTCTTTAATAGAGTGGTTTCCAACATTTCGGATTACCACTCCACAACAAAGTGATCCTAATATGACTCTTCAAAGAGTGTATTTCCGAAGACAGTTAAATAGTTGTAGTTATCGTTATTATGTGCCCTGTCCAATAAGTGTTGTGTATATTTGTTTTTGAAGTATTTATGGTGAGACATTGGGAAGGGAAATTGGTCGATTGTATATCTTTGGTAAAAACTTTGCTTTCGGATCGTCCGAAAATATGTAAGCCTTTGCCCCTTTTCATTATATATCACATCTTGAGTTTTATGATATTATTCTGCCTCGATAGACCTTCTATCAATCTATGAATTTAACGCCTTCGGAATAAATGAGCATGGGTGAAAACGATCATTATTTGGTCATGTGCGCGTATTTCTTTGCACGCGATCGCAAAGTCTTTCGATGAATCAACCCAAAGGACGACTTCAATGCATTTTTGTATTGTTTTTTTTATTACATAAGACCTCCTTGTAACGTTGCACGTTTCAAAATCAAATCAAATCGAAATCAAGGCTGTTGAAATTGTCTTAGGTTGATATTTCGAAAATCTTTTCGATCGTGTTTTTGTTTAAAGTATATTTATAAAATTACGTAAAAATTCGCGGTATGGAGATTTGTCAACCATAATAACTATAAAGGATAGCAAAATTTCACTGTGGTCAAGTCACTGTTACTGTGGTTCTCCATCAGATTCGTGTAATCATAAACTCTAAAAAGTAACATTTTAGATTTATAAGAGCTATCAATACAATTTTCTGAGACTATGGTAGTGGGAAAGGGAAAAAGATAAGAAAAAAAAACAGAAAGAGAAAGAGAAAGTGTGCTTATAAGAATGGAGTAGTGAAAGAGAAAGAGAGATGGGTGTATGTATGTGAGAGAGAGAGAGAGAGAGAGAGAGAGAAAGAGAGAGAGAGAGAGAGAGAAAGAGGGGGTGGGGAGAATAGAAAAAAAGATATTGTTTATTTTGACGATCATTGTTTATACAATTTTCTGATCCCCTTTGCGCTGATTAAAATAGACTTTATATCCAGGGCGGTGATGCGTGGAGGGGGCATAATGTCCCCCGTTAATCCAGGAAAACGAGGGTGGGGTGGTTACTCTCACAGTCCCTTTCCACCTTGGTCACTTTGCTTCCTCGAATGCCGCCCCCCCCCCTCCCCCCCCCCCCCCCCGCCCTCCGGTCGTTGAAATCGCCACCTTTGTTATCAACCACTGAACTCTAACACTTCGTAGTGTTAGAGTTCAGAGTTTGCAACTATTATAATCTTACTTAAACTTGTCTTTTAAATTCTAAGAGGTGTTTCATAAGGTGCTTATACATGTACAAGAGTGCACTTTCACTAAATAATGTAAAAATGAATGAATGAATGAATGAAGAGATAAATGAGTAAATATATGAAAAAATTATGATAATATTAAAGAATATGAATAACATATAAAAGCGATACATTAATGAATAAGCCAAAACCTGACTAAATGAATTCATATAAGTTAATAGATCAATCAATCAATAAATATATGAATGAATATATTTTCGTTAACAATTGATAACTTTCCTTCTTTTACGAAAGAAAATTTGGAAGTCGCAAATATCCGGAACGGTTACTAGGCTAAACAAAACTATATGGAGATAGTGGAAATCCTGAAAATCCTATGTGGGGGGTAAAAAAGTTGTATCACTCCATTACGGATACCGTTCAATAAAGGCCACGGTGGTTGATTCGTTTCCCAGTATTATCAAAGGAAGAAAATGACGTCACTAAAACTATTCAGGCGTAAAGAAGACTATTTAGTAAATGCATAAGAAAAGAAAGAAAGTACACTTATTCACGCTGAGTCACACAAGTCCAGCCGCCAGTGACGAATGGCTATTGCGGTGAACCACAGCTGTTGAATGCACATGCCCGCCTAGGTTTCTGAAAATAGAAACCTACTGAGTCAACGTCGTCTGCTCTTCGCAGTGCTTGCTTGATTGATTGATTGATTGAAATTAAAAAAAACATTTATTTCCTTCTAATTGGCAATTTAGTAAACAATAAACAAATATAATTAACAGTATAGTAAATAGATTAAAAAGGCAGGATGTAAAAACCCGGAAAGTAAATGCTGGTGTTGGGAATGCCCATTACTTACAAATTAGAACATGTTAGGGTAGAAACTGCATGTGAAGAGGGTTAGGCACCGGAGAATAAGTTCATTTTAATTGCATTTTAATCAGTAATTTTGTCCTGTATTGTTTCGAGCCTTCTAATGAAGAGGTGTTTACGATGACATCATCACAGACTAAAGAGTTTAGTTTAGTAGGATAACACTAATACTAGGCAGCTTATACATCTCATTCAAAAACCGGCTGACATAAACTGGCAGCCGTTTGATGCTTTTTCTGCTCTCTTTTTATCTAGTCACCCATGTGGTTATATAATATGCTGCTTGTTCCACATTATATATATATATATATATATATATATATATATATATATATATATATATATGTACATATCACATTATATTATTTTTTTTAAGACGTTATCGATCCCGATTATATTATAGGCAACATGTTCGGTCAGCTCGGATTCCTTTGATATGATAGGACTTATTTTTAAAAAAAATCAACTCATAGGGAATTTCAAAACCCTATTGTAATCATGTTCGGATTACGTAATACGTAACTGTCCTATTTCAATAGGTGACGTCAGGCGCGTACGCAGGGGGGGGGGTTGGGGTTAACCCCCCCCCCCTTGAGTTTTTTTATGTATATGTTTTGTGTATGGTTTTTTGTGAAACCCCCCCCCCCCTTTTGATTTTTTTTTTTTTTTTTTTTTTTTATAAAAAAAAAAAAAATTATACCAATGGCTGACCTAAAAAAAGGTGACCCCCCCCCCCCACGGAACAAAATGTCTAATTTTCAAATTTCGAGACCAAAAAAAAAAAAAAAAAAAAAAAAAGTGTCCTCTGTGAAGATCGCGCAGACCGTTATTTTCTGTCAGTGGGGAGGGGGGGGGGTGTGGGGGTGGGGGGGGGGGGGGGTTGTTTGATCACGTATTAAAAAAATGTATATCAATTTTTTTTAATTTTTTTTAAATTTTAAAAAAAATTATTAACCGGTTGGCTGATTCGCTGCTTAATATTTTCTCACGAATTGGGAAAAAAAAACAAGTATTCCTAAATTAAATAATTAAAATGATAAAAAGCCTCAATGATAAGGCATGCATGAGGCTTCTCCCAAGTGTTTGTAATTCCCAGTTTTCTCAATTAACTGTTATTAACAAATAATTACAAAACCCTTAAATTACAGCAATTTTATGTGTTTATGTTTAACAAATTTAGGGTCAACAACAAGTTTATTAGCCTATACTATAGCAATACAGTTTAAAAGTTGCCGCTCGGTGGACATGAATAATATGGTGATCAAAATCATTTTATTTGCAAGTAAGCCTACTAGGTGAAATGTTTCCCTAATTTGGGCCAGTGTACTTAAAATGAGAAAATAAGAACATTTTCCCCAGTTTTCGTTCAATCTCTGATTCGTAAGCCTATAAAATACTTGCTATAACAAATGTATAAAATAAAACCGTCAGTTACAATTTTTTTGAACGACTTATAAACCTTCTTCATCCTTCGAACATAAATTATCACTGAGCTAGGGGAGCTGGGTTGTCTCCACTTACTACCGGGGTACAACACGCTATAGTTTACACGAGCCATTCAGAATAAGCCCGTAAAAATTCCCTGGCATAACAGGGATACTGAATAAATTATTTTGATATAATGTGTGTACTGTTTAGATATTTTATCTTACCAAAAATTATTTTGACCGTTTACCTGTCAAATATGTCTGCGAATGGATACAAATCTAATATATTCTGTCGACCGTTTGATTAGAGTGCTAGCCCCCGGTCATGCAACTCTCCTGGCGAGCCACACGCATACTTCCTAGTTCGCATTGCTGGCATTCGTTGCATTCATTGATTGCCGAAATCTGTATTTGTTGTGTGTAACCCTTTCGTCTACTTTCACCAAATTTTCTCCTTCACTGACTGACATCGCCCACAATTTGCGTTTATCTGTGGATTTTTACTGTCTGGTTGTGTTCTCGGTGTGTTTTATCGGAGGTGAACTTCAAAGCCCCTGAAATAGAATGGCCCAGAGGCTTAACATCACGATACCGGGGCCCGGCCCGTGGGGCTTCCGTCTCGCCGGTGGTAGGGACTTTAACCAGCCGCTGTACATTTCCAAGGTAAGATATACAGTGTACACGTGCATTTAAAGTTTTCGGTAGCAGTAGACTATGGCCTACAATATGCCTATCCTAGATCTATCAGTGTAGGCGTAGCCATGCGATCAGTGATTAGGCTTTTCAGAGTTCTTTCATAGATATTTATACTATTGTTAGTCATCTGTCTGTGACTGTGTTTGTAAATGTAAGCAAAGATGGAGTACAAATCCAACTTCCAAGTCCAATTAAATCAGTTCCAGTTTAAAAACTTAGAGACTTATTTATTTGATATAATTTACTAAAACTAAAAGGCTCGTACTGTAGCTACCGTATACATATATTGCCTGTCAAGAAAGAGATAAAAGATGCAAGGGACGACTTGTGATCGACAAACAAAAAGAGAAGGAAGAAAGATTGAGTAAGTCGGAAGAATGTTGCAGTACGGTAGGCCTAGCCCAAGTCTACTCATTTGAATGATACTTGCTTAGAAGTTCGAGAAAGTGTTTGTCTGACAATGAATTATAATGAATATTAAAGGCACATCACCAAGTCATTAGCAAACACGGTCTATGGTGTGGTCACCACTGTGGTGACTCTCTGTTCAATTGAATCTTTTATCAGGGCAAAGTAAAAGTGAAAAAAAACATAATAGTTGAAACTACATGTAGACTTTATGTGAACAGGTAAGTGATATCTGTGGCTTTTCCCACAAGCAGGAGGAATTGGTTCTCTGTTTTTTGTGCATGTCGGCTTAAGATCACTCATGGGCTCAAACAGTTTTTAGAATTCTTGCAGAGCCTTTTTACTTGCACTGTACACTCGGCACTTGACAAGCACAAGGTACGATAATACACCAACGGCGGACTGTACTATACTGGAAGAAGAAGAAACAATTTTTTTTAATAATGATTCGGTGAAGCCAAACATAGTCTCAGCATGTATCCCTGAATGAAGATAGACTGCTTTTTTAGTCTCGGTTTTAATTTACTTACATTTGCTAGATTAGTTCATTCAGGGACTCCCCATTGATATCTCTGCTAGTCTGCTACAATGCAAATGTGGGATTCCAAGATAAAAAGTAAAGTAAGTGTATTCAAATTTTCATTCATGTGCAATCGACCCTGAATTAATCCCTGCTAATGCACACAAAACCTATTGACCGGTATTGTAGGAATTCTCACAGGTACATGTACAGCTACATGTAGGCAGGGATACAGTGAAAAAAATACACGGGAGTTCGGGGCAAATTAGCCCCCGAAATGCCAAAAAGAGCCCCCGAAAATTTGCATAGAGTTCAATGCAAAACAAATTAAAGAGTGTTATTTTCATGCAAGCAAGCTTGAAAAGTAGCCCCCAAAATTGTTAAGTATTTTTTTCCATGCAGGGATACAATACTATTTCAACTTTCCATTAAGCTTGAATGGTCCTAGTGGCTTAATGTATTGTTACAAATAAAGTATTTCATGTATGAGTTATTTTTCTCCAATGAAGTAAAATCTGCCTGTAGTTGTCAGTGCTAATCCTAGCCAAGCCAAGTATACTTGTACATGTACATTAGACTGAGAAGTTATTCAATATCGTTCAGGGATATGGATCCGCTGAGACTATGTGTGGCTTTTCTGAGAGCGTCAAACGACAAAACATGTTTCAAAACTCCCCCAAGCAGATAGACTTTCCGTCTGAGTGTACAAAGTACTCCTGTTGCCAAAAGTAGGCGTGAAGGACCTTTGTCACACCAAGATAATCTCCCGCCATGGGACATGAAAAAGTATGATAATTGTCATAACGTAATTAACATTGATAGCTGAGATCAATGTAGGTTTGTCCTGCTGAAGTTCAATGTATAAAACATAGTAATAGTGCTCCAAAGGACATTTACCTCTACTCTAGACAACTACATACTTCCAAATTTATACCAATAATTACCCTTTGGAAACTAAAGTATCTGGGAATGGAATGTTGAAATAAGGATGATATTGACCGAGGAGGGGGTAAAAATCCCAATGTTCTAGTGGTCGTTGTCAGGGAGAGGGGGGGGGGGATTTTTAGGAGATACTTGTAGATGTCCAGGGAGTAGATTTCTTCTGTTTCACATTGCTTGTTAAACTGATTTTATGTACTTTTTAAATTCACATTTGAAAAATAGAATCTACTAAACGTACTTCAGATAAAGTTGAGCCTCCCAAAACTTGTTTTTATGTGGCCTATTGAATTTGGCTTTGGTTCAATGAATGCACAAGGACTTCCTTAGGCTCAAGTCCAAACTGTTACATAATCCATCCCCAATCCTTTTATCTTGTCTTTGGTACAAACAAATTCCCAGTTATGGTAACAGATTAGGGGCTTTCTATGGCCCATAAAAGGATTGCAACAATGGCTAACTGTTAACTGTAAGGTAAACAGCGTTTGTATGCATGTTTTCTTACGGGGTTAGCTTGGTTTGAAGGGTGAGGCAAATCTTTGTAAATTCTGTCATTTAAACAGTTAACATTCCTGCATCTCTTACATGTACATCTTTAGGCGCCTCATGGAGAGTTGTAGATACAGATGCATTAGGTCTTAATAGTTAATACCAATACTGTACATGTTGGTATGCAGGATAGATCTACAATACTGTACATGTAACGATGTAGTCTGCAAGTACAGACTCTAATTTTACTATGTACCACAATTTTCAAAGTCTTGAGCAGAGCATAGATATGTCAGTCTCTGAATGTGTCAAGCAGATGAAGTACAGAGCCTGTTGTAGTCTTATAGTGCAGCCACTGTTACGGACAACGACAAGGGTTTATGTAGACTGCAAACTAGTGACACTTTGAAAAAGTAGATTTGTAAATGTACAGTGTACAAGGAGATGCATGTAATAATGTGTTTCATTAAGTTTGAGTAAATTACTGTCATCATCATCATCGTCATCATTATCATCATTGTTTTCATCATTATTGTCTACTTCCATTCAAGACTGGGGTAATTGGGGTCTTTTTTAAAAATGAAAATATTTGTTGCATCTGTCAATGATAAATATGTATGGTACTTCGGTACATGCCTAAATGTACATGTACATGTGCAATCACTGATCAAACTTACATTAACAATTTAATACCCCAAAATAATAGGATCTTTATGTTAAAAAAAGAAATCATTAATCATATCAGACCAAAGTTCATCTCAGTTTAGTAATCTGCAGATTATTCGGCTAATTCACCCTAGTGACTTTCCTACATAGAATCTTTGAGAGAAAAGAAAGAAAAAAAGAAAATTGAGTAATATGTACCGGTAGGTGTGTCCCTCCTTTGAGCTACATGTACAGCCCCATCTACCCCTAATTCTTTACACTGTCCTGAAGAAATGTCAAAAAGTTTTTGATTCCCTAGTGTTTGTTTTCCAAACATGGGCATTGTGTGAGCATTCCAAGCATTCTGCGTCATTCACTGTGGAAATCTAGACGAAAGGCAAAGGTCAGACTGGGTATTATGTGCTGTGGTTTCACAAACAACATTCACATTTCAGGTATTTTCTTAGTTATTACATGTAGGTCGTTGCTCCTAGCAACAGTGAAAGCCCGCACCGAGCATGCTATATTAAAGTGTATGTTTGTCTAACTGATTATTCCCATTTCATTCACTTTCCTGGAAATTGCATTTAGATTTTTTTCTTCAGTCAGAGGCCTACGCTGGGTACATAAAAAGTTAAAACCTGATTTGCTTTTATATTTAAACAACCCACATACCTTAATATAATAATATGTAATGCAAGGTTTTCTTATTCTGAATATATTTTAATGTACTTTTACATGTAGCTGACATTCATAAAGGATGCAAGAATGACTGTGAGCTTGATGTAAATTTAAGTACATGTAGTGTGTAAAATGCTTTCTTGTATGCACTGGTACATGTAGTATGAAACTTGATAAGACATGGCTACTGGTATTCATTGACTAATGATGATGTAAATTAAAACCATTGCAGTTATCAATACTATTTTAATTGATAGCTTCAAAGTGATAGTTGGTGAATATTTATCATACTTAACTACCAGGTATATATAGAGCATGATATACACGTACAGAAACTCAAAAGTAATTGAGTCTGAGACTTAAGACTACTGTAGGTCAGCTGAATAATGCCAAGACACACCCACCTACATACAATGTAGTACATAGTACATGTATATTACTGTACTGTTTATTTAATATTGTAGTCCTGCTTTATTGCATGAGTACAGGTCTATAATGAAGGCTTGCTTGATATGACGTACATGTATGAACACTCATTGTTTATACTTGGGGTTCAATTTTTGCAAAATAGTTGGAGATACAGTAATTGCACCTGTACACGTACATATAGTTCTGACATTTTACAAGTGTTATCTGTCATTCAAAGCTTACAAAAGTAGGACTATTTTATTGGCAGCAAAAATATCAATAAAATCTTGAGGTCATGAAAACACCTTTGTTATCAATTCTTGTAATATGATGACTGTGGGCATTGTTTACCAACTGAAAACAAACTAACACTGAAATTGAGAAGTCTCAATAAAATGAAGGGCTTTAGATAAAACTGCACATATTCAGATAGCTCTGGTTTGTTACAATGTTTACTGCTATTATTTACTGCTATTCAGCCATCTCAAATTGATCTGGTATGAAATGTGTTTGAATTGAGAAGACCTTGTAATTCTTCCTGAGCGTTGTATTGGATCTAGTCAAGTATGAAGTAATTATTTAAGTCATTGTGCCGTTAATTCTACATTATGTTAACGGTGTATGTGAATTGAGTAAACACCCTTGTAGCGCCAAACAGACAACACTTTCATTTTACATGAGAGTACAAAGACTGGTTCCTGACTTTAAGTGATTTATTCCCATGAAGTAATTTGAAAATATAAACAATGAAAAAATTGGATAATTCCCTAACTTGTTGCAATACAGAGCCCAAGATAACTTAGTTGAAACCCATTGAAAATTAAGAATATGCAAATAAGATTTGCCTATCTAAAAATAAAAACTTGCCTTTTGTATT